TTAGTAGCCACGCTTTAGCTTGTAAACACCTGATTTGTTGTGCTTGTCTATGTTGGATTTGTTTTTTTATAAGTATACCTGAGGTGTTATCAGTCTTCAATCAAATTTCTTTTTGAACGACCAACATGAAGTTGATTTCTCAACAATGTTCAATTTATTTTCATGAAAAATCAACTATAGCTAGTCGAATCATAGGTAATAAAAATTTATCAGTTTTGTACCTGCTGGATATCTGTTGACCAATTAGTAATCTCTATTAATTGAAGTCGATAATTTGTATAAATTGCATTGTGAAGTAGTGTGGAGTTTCAGTCCAACTGAGGATGTTACTACATAGTGAAACGTATATTGGAAATAAAATCTATATTGTGAAAATTTATAATTATTATCATGAATAGTGTTACTAACTTTCACGAAGCAACGGATCAGTGTGTTAACAAAAAAATGAAACATTTTTGTTGATGTCCTGATTTTGAAAACATATTTTTTAACAAAATTGTGTTGAAAAATACAGGGATTGTGAAAATCTCTATACTATAGAGTTCATATATGAATTGTTTCAAACACTTGATTTTGTCTATTATTCAAATAATGATAAAAGTAGGGAAACTCAACAGTGAACAAAGAAGGTTGTGGTTCTTAATATTTACTCAGGTTACACTATCAGATTCACTGATCACTTATTTGGTCGTGCAAAATGAATTTAAAAAGTAAAATGAAATAACAGAGGGCGGTTTTAGCAAGATACTTCAATCACAGTTGGAAAGGTTCATATTTTCTTCAATAATTATTCTACTGTATGACATAATTTTGGGCTGTGTTCACATTTCCTTGCCACTTGCTGATATTTGATGGTAGTCACACACTCCAGTCAGGTAAAAAAAGCATAGTTAGCAAAGATGAAGTATTTTATTGATTCAGTTGAATTCGGGGAACTCTTACAATAACATAACAATTTATGTTAAACATAAAAATATCACAGTGTATAACAATTAAATAATATATATTATATGTATATAGTATATGTATATATCACAATTTACCGGTAAATATCACTGTACATATCACAGATTGAATTTCGAAAATAAATGACTTGCAATATATGAAATTATTCACACCTCAGTGGAATTCATATAATACATTTCATATATTTCTCTTTATATTATTCTACATGCCAAATTATTAAGTAATGTTACTTTTCTCTATAAAATTAAAATTCTAAAAGGAACTCAGATTAATGTAAACAAAATGGAAAAATCACATTACTTACAATGTACCTATAAGAGAAAAAAAACTATTCGACAATGATCACCTCAATAAATATAATAACACCAGTCATATTTATACGTGAGTTTTCATCTCATATCTATTATTATATTGATTGTTATTTCACGTTCTTTTGAGACCAAATGACCTATTGATCAATGGAAGTATAGAAACAAGAAGTCTGTTCAAGATTGGTAAAAGCTTATTGATTGATGGATGAAGTGCTAATTATTTTGTTCAGTATGATGAAATATTTATGGATAAAACATAGACAAAAAATTGTACTGGGTAAGATGTGCGCTAAAATAATCTGCAGTTCTTTACAACTTTTATGAACATATCTGATCAAAAGCAGCAGCTTGATATTGCATAAAATTACATTTTTTCTATTTCTGAACTTTACAATTACTTGAAATACAATGAGTGAGTGAAAACCAAATAATTAATGTTTGACTGTATTGCCATCAAAGGAAGTCCTGTCACTTGAATTAAAAAACATACTTATTCTCATAATAGAAAGAAATGGTGATAAAGAAGTGGAGACTGATTTTTGAAAATTCATCGTCTTCAAAGCTAGTTCTTCCCACATATCTTCCAAACAAATATTGATTATTTTACACTTTATTAGAGCGAATCAATATTATTACTACCATCAGCCGTCACTGATGTTATATCTATGTGGGTTCTTTAATAATAAGTGGTATTGATGCTTTCATTCTTTATTCTACAATTCAAAATTACAATTCAACACTCAACTCGAATTACACTTTATAATTGTCGCACTATTTCACTTGTTCACTATCACTTGTAGCCTCATCACTTGTCTGAACTTCAAGCTAATCTGCTTTTTGACAATAAAGAAATCGGTTCCTATATATTTTTTGTTTCGAAAAGCGTTGAAACCATTTCATCCAATACATATTTTGATTTTATATTTCATCAACTTCTCAAAGCTTTCTTTACACTCTTGAAATTCTGTTGAAGGTTGTCAAATTATTGGAAACCTATTTTATACCTTTTTATATATTTTAAAACTAAATAAATCATGTAACCAAATTTTTTTGGGAAGCCCGGGAAAATTAAAATATGAGAAATCAACTTCATTTTGATTAAAATGTGAAATATTTTTCATTATAATGTGCATTAGGCACAAAGAGAAAAAATGGTACATTTCACTTCACAAAGACAATATTGATGAACGAAAATGATTACAGCTATTTCACCTATTCAAATTACTACTTTTACACTATTGAACACTAGACGTCTGTCTACTTTATGGAAAATCTGAACTTATTATCGCCAACCCATAAATAAGATCTATTGGTTGGGTAAATCAGGGATTCAGTTTTGACAATATAATAATATTTTTCAATTTCATAAAATTCTTTATTAAGTTTATTCACTCTTTTCCAACAACAAAACGAAATCTTTTAATGGATAGATAAAGGCTTATCTAGGGAATTCTTATTCAGCTAAAGTAATGTTTCTCGTTCAAACCTACTTTCGGAGGAGCGGGACAGGGATAGTCACTCCTCCACTTTTGCTATCACCCTGTCAACCAATCAGAAGCCATCGCATGCAGCCCATTTTCGGCGTGAAATTAAAATTACTCATTGTTGTCTCATGATAGAGTTTGTGGCGATGGAAAATCATTTGTAGGTTATACAACTAACACATTGAGCGCCGGGGCTGATTCGTTTCACAGATAAGGTGTTTTTGAATGATGAAAAGTTTTCAGCACTTTATAAACTATAACGATCAAAATGAAGCAGAAACTGACAACTGACGTAACGTAATGTCAAATTCCATTTCAAAACCAATCTCACGCTAGTTTTGAATCATAGTTTATGTGATATCATCGTTTCAACGCCAGAATGAATGTATTTGAATCACAGACGAATACGTTTTGAATACATGAGCACTAGAAAACGCCTAAGAAAGATGTAGCAAGACATTTTGATTATATGTTCGAAAGATTACCAAGTTTAAGAGTGAAAAATATATGGATTCATTTTTTGTAAAACCCTAGCTCAGAAAATAGTTTAGAGATCAACAAATTTTGATTTCTGATTGCTGATCATTAAACCAATTGCATGCATTTCAAAAAACTGTTTCAAACACCAGGCTATAAAATAAAGTCGATTTTTTGTTAACTTTGCTGGAGAAGAATATTGAGACTTCAAGCCTCATTTTTTAACTACTCTACTGACCAGTTCCAGAATAAAAAATATCAAGCGCGTCACGTACTGAAAACAGCTTTCATAGTCAATCAGTAACTTAGAAAAACAGATCAATGTAGAAACTCTAGCTTTGATTTTCCAATGTTGAACCATTTCATTTCATTCATCTATTCACAGTAAAAAAGTATTTATTTCATCTTGAGTATGGGTATACTACATAAAAATATTTTTCCTTTAAAGGGGATATTTTTTGGGTGATATTAGTTTTTGGGAAAAAAGTTGCTTTCTTTTTCATTATACAGATATAGGAAAAAAGGAAAGAAGTAATTGTACAGAAGTTTTTTTTTCAGATAGAAATTGAAAGCAACTACTTTCAGATTTATGAACACTGAATTACACGAAAATAACTTTTTTCCATTCAGTTTGTACTGCAAACATTCGAATTTGAGAAAACTCAAAGAATCAGCTTATATATTTTTGGCACCTAACAAGTGTATTTCAAATAACTTTGCGGAACTCGATCGTACCTGTTTACCACTGCTAAGGCGAGAGATTAATAAGAAAAATATTAACTTGAACTGAGTTCTGGTACAACATCATGTGTTCTTGTAATCATGTAGACTACTGAATATGTCATATTGACTTTTTATTCCTTCAACATTTATCAAAAGAATACATATATTTTCGGAAAATGATATTTTTTGTATGTTTTGAGAACTGAAAAGATTTTTTTGAACCATAAGCCATTTTGAAAAAGTTATCGATACATTTTTTAATTTTTCAATAATTTCATTTGTTGGCAAGATATATAAATAGAAATTACTCACTAATTGGACCCTTCAAAGTTCTATATTACGTAGTGAACCTTTTAGTTTTCCCTTCATTACACTTGAACAAAATCTTTGTTGATTTATATTTATTTTTCAGATTGTTGAAGGTTAGACAACAAAAACATCAAGAAATATAACCATGACATAAGTGTTACAACATATTGCTTCATTGGACTTTTAACCTCTGCAGACCGATTTTAGACTTCCACTTATCATCAATATGAAGGCAGATGTCTACAAACCATTCATAAAAAACAATTTTTGGGAGCACTTTAAGTTTTTATTCATCGTTGATCAAATTAAGAGTCAGGTTTCTAAGAAAAGTGTGGATACTTCCTATTTGTACTTACTCAAAAACGGTTCTTTCCTATAGAACCTAAAGGGAAAATATCTCTTCACACGCTAATATTTTCTATATGATTAAAAGTTCATATTTCAAAAAATGATTTTTAATTTGTAGATCAAACCACAATTCAATTTATACCAGTTTATCACATTAACTTCAATATATCACCAAAAACATATCAGTCATCAAAAACCATTATTGAATGAGTTATAGATTGAGGCTAGGCACTAATTTTTCTAACCCTAGCAAATTCAGTGTACTACCGTAATCATATACTCTGAGCTATCACCCATATTTCTGAAGCTTTTACCATATCTTACACAAACTTTTGAAGATTTCATAAAAAATAGCCAATACAATTGCAAATAAATGAGGTACCTGTTAGTCTGGTATCCCTGCTGCATGGCTGGCGGTGGATAGTAACCCTCCTGCATTGGCCTCGGTGGCATGGTCTGCTGGCCCCATTGCTGCTGTCTCGGCGGACCTCTCTTATCATCAAAATTGTCAAAGTATCTGTCACGGTCTCTATCTCTCGATCTGCGCTCTCTATTGTCTCTAGTTCTACGATTATCTTTGAAAGTACGTTCATCTCTGTTATAGTCCCTGTCATCATCGTAGTCACGATCTCGTCTGGATCTGAAGCAAAGAAGGAATATTTTATTTGGTATTGGTAGGACCGATTATTCATTGATGCAGTTGTAAGAAGTGGAATCAAGTTATTACCTGTATCCCAAATGTAATTTTCATGTTTTTTTGTTGTACAGCTCTCGCAACAGTACATTGTATATAGCTACTTATTGAATATTATGATAATTGAAATGAAGAGTCAATCAAAAGAAATTTAAATTTTACTCAAATCAATCAACTGAAAAAAATTGATTTTGTAAACGGTCTCACAGTTCCATATTATTCTTGTGGAACAAGCTACTGGCAGAAGGATGAAGAAAATATCTTAAGAGAACACCTCTTATTTAAGTTTAATATAAACCAATTAAAGGTCGTCAATGAGATGAATTGCTCTACTCGATGTCTTTTTAATTGATTACCTATTTGTTTTGTAGATATTCATATTTATTATAGGAGAGAGAAAATAACTTTTGTCTAATTTCTACCAAAATGTTTATTTGTTAGAGCGGTTTTGGTTTATTCATTCTTAAGTAAACATGAGAAATTAACTTTTGTCTCATATCTACTAGTAAACTCTCAAGTAAACTTGAGAATGGTTGAGAATTAACCGAAACCGGTCCTAACAATTAAAAATCTTAGAAGATATTAAACAAAAGTTATTTTATCTATCCTGAATCTACTTTATGTGGTGTTGAAAAGCTTCATAGTACTTTTAGGTGTTCAGCTGAATACATCTATGAATGGGTAGGTATTGTTGCAGTTGCAATGAACTTTTTTTCAACTGAACTCACTTTCGAATCTAGTTTTCCAGAGTTAAAATAAAAGACAACACAATTGAGAATAGTTTATCAACATTTTCATGATCAATTATTTTGTTGTTATAGAAAATTGAGATACAAGGTGTTCCAAATTCGATCCTCACCATTGGGAAACAAAATCTCACAGAGTTAGGTTCATTTGAAAAGTCGAGGAAAAAATATGGAGACAGAATGGATCAGGAAACTAAAGAAAATTTGATAAATAAGGTATGTATGAGGTAAGTTAGACATTGTGTCCTTTTCAATAAAAATTAATACAGATACACATGAACCCGGGAAAATGTACACGTCAAATTTCCTCCGAAATGAATATTTGTCATACAAGTGCTTGGACACATCTCAAAAAAAGTGGTTTGAAATGTTACAAAAAACACATATCTCAAAAATTGCATTCAGGTGATCTCGAAAGGCGATTAAAATTTTGAAATTGGCTAATAAGAAGACCTGATTTTCCTGTTTTCCTGGAAAATGTAATTTGGACAGATGAAAGCACTTTTATGAATTGTCAACCGAAATAACAAACACATTTGGAACATAAATAACCTCAGAAGTTCTGAAAAACCTCAAGTGCAATTTAGTATTAACGTGTGGGCAGGAATTTACAAAGATAGAATTTTGGGTCCTCATTCATTTGACGGAATTCTGAATGGAGAAACCAATCACCAGTTTTTAATGTCGATTTTTGAAGGCTATTTGGATGATCTACCTTCAGCTAACTATAACAACATCTGGCTTCAACATGATGGTGCTCCACCGCACACTACCAGATGAGTATCTAATTACCTGACTGAAAGGTTTGGTGATAAATGGATAGGGAATAATGGATCGGAGAGCTGGCCAGCAAGGTCTCCAGACTTAAGTGTTATGGGTACATTCTTATGGGGTACACTGAAAAATAGAGTTTATGGTCAGAGGAAACATCAAAATACTGAGGACCTTTAACACAACATTGTGAGAGAGTTCTGAAGATTGAGGAGGAGAGAAATTAATCGTGCAGTAAATAATATTCGAAGGACACAGTTGTGTTATCATGAACAAGGCCAGCATTTTGAGCATTTGCTGTGATTTACTTTTGTCTTTACATTTTAGTTAATTATTGTTATTTGTTCAAGGTTCTATTTTCATTGAAAAGGACACAACGTCTAATTTACCTCATACACACCTCATTTATCAAATTTTAATTGTTGATTCTGTCTCTGTATTTTTTCATTGGCTTTTCAAACGAACAAAACACGGTGAGATTTTGATCAATAACTTGAACATAGTTCGGTGTGGTTGTCGTATTTCGGGATACAAGTTTAAATACATTTCCGATATCTTAACACTGTTTCTATCGTATCTGTAATAAATTTGCATCATATCTCTTTTTCCTTCATTCGTGAAAGCTATTTTTTGTCAAAAAATCAATGAATTGTACAATAACAAAGTGCCATTGAGTATAACAAATTGAAAGTCAAATTTAGAAACATCAAAGTCAAAGCCTATTATGATAATTATTAATTTTTTCAATATCTCCAATTTTTCGAAAAATAATGATAATTTATGATACATCATTGAAAAGGTAAAATCTGGTTCTATTCAAAACAGAAATAATCCAATGTAGCGCCCATAAGAAAAAATAAAGTTGATGATGGTGGCCGGAAGACGAAACGTCGGATAGCTGAAAACACCATTATGTATCAGAGAAAAAGTGGTGATGCGGAAGTGCAATTTATTTTCGAATCCTTCGAAAAATGAAGCCAGAAAAAAATAAAAACCAACTTCCCTTAAAGCATAAGAAATGAAATCTTTTCATACACATGACCAAAGGATAAAAAGTTGGGGCTGTACAGTATGAAAGGTAATTGATAATAAAAAAAAAATTGTACTGGTGTACCTTAGAGCAGTTTCATAAGGCCCATTTCCAATAATATGAATTGGATAGAAAATGAACAGCAGCTTAAATTTTGTAAACAATGATGTGCCCTTGCTAAAAAAAACCTATCTTTCCCTAAAAAACTATTTTCCTTCAAACGGGATCAGGACACTACAAATAAAAAACTGCTTTGCAATTCTATTGCCCTTTCACACACTAACTATGCTGGCATAGTGTGTAGGCCATGCTTATCGCAAAAAATATCGTGCATTCATTTCATATCGATGGTGTTTCCTCAAGCACAGGTCAGCTTGTTAAAAAAGAACTGCAATTTTTTAAATTATATGAAACATGTTTTGTTCTCTATGCTAGCCTTGTCCATAAGATCTTGACTAATAGTTGTCCAAGTACCTTGTTTCAAAAAAAATTTGAAGGGAGGGTTTCCACAACAGAACACACAATCAATAATGCTTAAATGCCAAATTCACTCTTCGAGGCATCCTTCTATTCAGTGGCCTGTGCTGAACAATATCCTTCAGAGTACTCAAATCCTGTTCTTTTGTTTTGCATCATATGTTTGTGATTTCATATATTACGACACAATACATGCTTTATTATTTTTATTATCGTTATATTTCTTGACCATACAACCTTGAAGATCACCAGATCACAATATCATACTTGGAAATAGTTTCCAAAATACAGCTCATTAAGGAAATAACTTTGTCAATATTTGAGCTGATTTCCGCAGTTTAAAACTTATTGTTCAATATGATACTTTAGAACATATAATACGCGCCAACTAAGTAAGATTTTGATGCGCATTTTAAACTAAATTGTATCTGCCCCAGAAAATAGCTATTGGCCATACAAACTGATGTCAATAGTACATTGGCGAAATATGACTCAAGTAGGTGGAGTCTTTTGACACAGAACGATTTTACGTTTCTGCGCCGACTCATCTCATTTGGCGCATTCTGTACTTAAAATGCTTTTTTCAGACAATGAAGTCATCGGAATCGTCTTGATTTAACTAGCAGTTTTTCCAAAGTTCTTTATGCACTGGTGTTTAGATTCTTGTTTTCTTAATTTGAATGAAATAAATATAATACACCAGCCTCATTGGAGTATTGTGTTTTACTCATATTTTCATAATACCCATTCCAATAATCTTGTTCCCTACTTTGTAGGAAGTTTGCCATTTTATTCTGGAAATAATTTGGGCTGGCCTCACATTTGCATAATACGTGACAAGTTGCCTCTATGTCTATTTGTTGCATTGCAATGTCTAGTATTTACAGCAATATTTTGTTCAGGTGTCCTCTTATAAGACGGTGTTGAGTCAATACCTGCTTTTATTGAAGCTGTCCTTAATGATTCAAATTACTCGTAACATACCTGATCAAATCTATAACATAAACTTTCTTGAAAATAATAACTTTTCACAACACCTTTTACACCAAAAACATACTTGGATGGATTTTGCAAAAACTAGATAAGGGTCTTACCATTGGGCATTAAATAAAATAAATATTTGTGAATTGAAAAATTTATGACTACTAGAATTTATAAATTTAAACTACTTAACACAAAATCTGATTCTACATGTGCTCACAATCTATGGAGAACGTTTATAACCTTCCACAATCTGAAAATTAAAGCTGAATCAATAAAGAATCTGCTGGACATTTCATTCCTTCAACGTTTCTCAAAAGAAATATACATGTTTCCGTTTGGGGCATTCTTCATAAGTGATTTTATTGAGATTTGATAAAAGAAAAATATTAATTTTCAAAACATTAAACATCTAAAGAAATCAAAGTAAAAAAATTTCCTTTTACCATTTATTATTCAATTTTTAGACAAAATTTATGAATACGAAGTAGCTTTTCGGGTGTAACTTTATTTATTTTTCAGATCGAGGAAGGTTATAAACCCAAAAAACATTTATGGACTACCCAAATCATGTCCAGAAGAATACGACATATATCCAGCAAGTAATCTGTACAAACTAGAACAGGGAACAAAATTCTTGGAATGGGTGTCATGAGAAAGATGGGGAAAAATGCAATGAGCTCACGAGGCTGCAGTGTTTTCCGGAGAAATTGAAATGGATGTATCTTCATTTGTTTTTTTTTTCTTCAAATTCTGTAAGGTTATGAACCAAAAAAAACAATAATAAACATCGACTCCACAAATAATGTGGAACCTTTCGAGGATTTGAAAAGGGCTGTTAAAAACCAAATTCAACATTTCGACAGGAGTCAAAATAAAATAACCTTGGTTTATTAAATGTACAAAATATTCGAGAATCTTCATTTATTCAAGTAAAGGATTTGTTAAAATTGTTCTAGATTCAGTGTTGAGATAGGAATAAAAGATGAATGAGGAATGTGTGGAGAATTTACCCCCAAAACTGGAACATGAAATATTTTTTCAAAAGAATGGGTGCACCTTCACATAAAAGTAGGATAGTAACATATTACGTTCATGAAAAATTTGAGGAAAAAACGAGGGAGTGCAAGAGAAGAATTGACTATCATAAATAATGTGCCACAATTTCACACCTGTTATGACTAACCTGTTTTACCACTATTTTTTTTGATTTGTTGATTTCCCCTAACGAAGTTGCTTACATACTAACTGATATAAAATTCCAATTGAATTAAATGTTTTTCTCCCACATTGTAATCTAGTTATACTGGTCCCACAAATAAATACATTATATCTATTGTTTCAATACAATTTGAATGGAATTTTTGGACAATTTTGAAGGGATCGTGCATGACTCAATAAAATTAAAGGAACGAAAAAAAAAAAAGACATTTGAAATATCGCTTTTGATGAATCGTTACATTCAGAAAATTATAAGAATTACAAAATTCATAGTGACCTATTCAAGGATCAAAAGTTGAAATTTCCAGAAATAGCAGGAGTCGAAAAAAAAATTCAATACGCCAAAACGTGACTTTCAACAAGCGTATTCGATGAACATAGTATCAAAAAAATCCGAAAGAACGAAGGACAAAATAGAGGAATACCATACATGGACTCACGGTTTCTGTCAAGCTAGTCTAATAAGTTCACAAATTTACACATGCAATGAAAAACAAGTGTTTCTACAACAACTAACCTTGGAGGTGATCTCAGAGGTGATCGATATCTAGAGGGACCCCTTCGAGAAATCGAAGAAGGCTGGGGCGACCGCCTCGGAGGAGACAGTTGCCTGTGGGGTGATCCTCTTAGACTGCCTGAAAATGACCTCGATCGAGACCTACAATGGCAAGGTGCAAGTTAATATAAATGGATTCCATACATTACAATCGATAAGGTTATCTTTTAATCATTACCGAAAGTGTGTTCAAGAATCAAGGTAGGGTACTTTGACACTACACATAAGAAATAATAAATTTTTTCAAGCATATTTGTTGAAATGTTGGCGAGTTATTTGGAATAATTAGTATTGATGAAAGCAGAGCACAAGTAAGTTGAATGGAGAAATTCACTGTGAACAAACAAATAATTTTTAACAAATATCTATTTCTTTTTACTTCCACTTCAAAAGAGATTTGAAGGCAAATTAGTTTCTTACTAAGGCTTACAGATCTTTAGAGCGTTATTCTCGAATAATAGTAAACAATACTTCATCATACAGGGATATGATAAAAGTTCTGTACAAAATTCATGAATAGGAAAATTTTCTTTTTTCTGAAAAACCTCAAAACATGTCAAGTGATATATTTTTTACTTTTCTGATTATATTTTTCTCAAAAAAATATGTGGTAATCATAAGAATTTTTTTAAATAATCAACTATTCCAGGGGGCCATTGTCCCTCATTGCTAAGGTGAAGAACTGTCAAAGTGACATTTTTGTAAAATATTGAATTTGTTAGTCCAAACATTTTCTCAAAATACATATGCATCCATACATTCACACTAACATGCAAACGCCTGCACACTCGCACGCCCGCAGCACACTCGCACGCCCGCAGCACACACACTTACAAGCACAAAAACAAGCTCGCACGAACACGCACATATACACTCTTAATCCACACACTCACATCGCTCGTTTATCTAAGAAGAATAGAAATTGCAATAACAATCTGTTACGGAGGTTGACAAAACAAATTTAATGTTTGAAACTAGTCAATCGAACAGTCAACTACTAAATCATATCAATTTGAATAATACTCTAATTAATTATACAGGACACACTAAACTGCTTGGTCTTTTTATTGGGAGTTATCTAAAATGGAATGACCATATAGACACATTATGTGTGAAATTGACGATAGTATGTTATGCATTGTATGTATCCTCCCAAAAATGTAGTAAAGATATACTCAGGCACCTATACAAAGTGGAAGTCTTTGATAGACGAAAATAATTTTAAGTTGCAGTGTTCTTGGACTTCAAACCAACTTTCAAAACAATTGATATCGATATCCTGTTGATTAAACTGCAGTATAATGGAATTCATGGGACAGTTCTAAAATGGTTTGATAATTACTTGAAAGGTCATTCTCAAATAACTTAAGTGAATGATGTAATCTCTAGTAAAAAAAAAATATATCCACCAGCGCTCCCCAGCGCAGTGTCTTAGGACCTTTGCTATTCATTCTTTATTTGAATGATATCAATTTTGTTCAAGACTATGAGTTCATTAATTTGTTTGCTGATGATACTCTTCTAGCTGTCAACAGTCTGAACCTGGATGAGGCCATAGAGAAAATGAACAATGTTTGGAAATTATCACTATTATTACGAATATTAAGCTCAAATTAAATATTCTCAAAACCAAGGCCATGATAATAACTTCAGAATACAAATATATCCAAATCAACGTAAATAACATAAATATATGAATTTATAATGAAAACATTGAAATAGTGCAAGAAATGAAATATCTTGACTTCAAAATAGATAACTTTATCACTTTCAGAAGTCATTTCAATTTTGTTCATAGCAAAATAAGTAAAAAATTATTCTTGCTTTCATGAATACACCAACAATTATCGTTCTCTACACCTATAACAGTCCATAAAACTATAATCCAACCTCACTTTGAATATTGCCTAAGTTTACTGTCGTTACTAGATTCTAACAGCAAAAATTGCCTAATAGAGCAATGCAAATCATTCTCAAATGCAAGAAGTCCACTGCCATTGATACAATGTTAGTTGTACTGAACTGGAATCCATTAAAAACTCGATTATATTATCTTTCAATGATCTTTATTTACAAAATGTTGAAAGGACAGTTACCTTCTTATTTTAATCAATTTATCATATTCAATAATAAAGTTCACAATTACCAGACCAGAGGAAGTTCAAACATTCATGTTAATAGAAGCAATAACAAAAAAATCACGAATTCTTTATTTCACAAAGGACTGATTCAATATAATAATCTACCCATTCATATCAAGGATAGTGTAACACTGAGATCATTCAAATGCAATCTTCTGGGGGACATCAATGAAAAATGACCATCATGTATATGTATCATTTTTTCACAAACTATTGTATTTAGTAACAGCAGATGATGTTCATTCACTTATTCGAATAATCATGTAACAGTTATTATTAGAATTTGTGTATATTAGGATTTCTATTTCAAATAAAGATTATTATTATTATATACTTCATGTGTTTTCATTCCAAAATATGGCGTTATGCAGTGGGGGACTTCACCCCTTGCTTCTAGAGTTTTTGTCTTACAAAAAAGGGCTCTTCGTATTTTGGCAAATTCAAAATCAACTGATTCATGTCGAGTAGCATTTGAAAACTTCCGAGTTTTAACAATGACATCAGTCTACATCTATGAAGCTTGCTGTTTTAGTTTTTAAAAATAGGAAGTTTTTTGATTTGGAGAAAATTAATAATCACATCTACAAAACTCATAACAAACAGTTATTAGTTCCACCAACATTTAACAAGTCTCTACCAGAAAGGTATTTATTACAATGGATGTAAAATTTTCAACAAGCAACCTAAATTTATTGAAGAATGATATCCGTTGGGTTCAAACAAAAAACAAAAGAACTCTTTTTTACAAAAACGTACTACAGTGTTGAGGGATTTTTACCTGAATTATCACACTTGATTTTTATTTTTATGTTTATTTATATAAAACGATTCAAGTGTGACACCTGCCTAGTTCAGCAGGTGCCTATATGTAACCTGTAATTCCTACTTCTCTGCTCAAACCTGACATGTTTGTTTTCATCAACTTTTTATTTTATTCACCATATCACTCTTCTAATGTGCATTGTGTATGTTATTTTATTATATATTATATTAATATTTAGATGACAATTCCAATAACCATTCATCTGTTTTATGATGTAAAAATTGTATGGATGCTTTTCTGGTATGATATATATAAATAAAATAAATAAATAAAGTAAGTTACGAAGCCATGAAGAAGCATGTGCTTAAAAAATTACTCGCGTGATATTTCGACGATTTTAGGAAAAATTAATATTGCCCTATTCATCAATCCTGTACAGAACAACCATTACCTTGTATAATAAATCAGAAGAATCATTATATACTTACCGACTCAAAGAGAATGATCTCGATCTGCTCCTAGAACGCCTATTTGATCTAGGAGATCTACTTCTTCGTCTCACAGGCGATCTACTAAAACTTCGACTACGACTTCGACTATAACTCCTGCGAAAACTTCTTTGTTTTGCACGACGTTTTTGCTCATCTTTCTCTCTGAGTAGCCTGTTGAACGCAGCTAGCGGATCATCAATCACTCTGAAATAATAAGTAGTTATAAACAATAACAGTAAATACTGCCCCATAGATAACAGAAGATTTGATAACATTTCGAAAAGATTTGAATAGTTAGGAATAATGGTTTTGTGCTCAAATGACAGAAGCGCAGAAATAAAGAAAGAAGAAAAGGCAAATAAATTAGAATTATCAAAATCTTCTGAAAGATGGGAACATTAGAAGAAAAAAAAAATAAAAATTTACAAAGCAGCTATCAGATTTGTTGAAACTTATGAAGCTGGTGGGACCAAGGAAAATAAAAAACGTAAAATTTAGGCAACTAATCAATAAATAAATGAGAACTATTTTCCAGGTTTGTTGGCTGTAGTCTGCAGATTTCTATGCCAAACGTTTCGTATTCAACTGCAATAGACTTTGTCAAAGGTGATGAAATCTGACTCTGAACAAAAACTACCCTATAGTTTGCAGCATCATGTTCAGATCCATTATTTTTGAATGTCTCATACAAATCAAGTTTGGAAAAATACCACCAATGAAGGACTCATTCATGAATTGAATATTGATGTAACTTTAAAGATTTTTGATTTATCTCCTATGAAACCTTTTGAAAAAAAATTATTAATTTCCTCATCAAGGTTCTGATTTGACACTTATATTGTCAAATCCAGGTGCTTTCTTTGTATGTCACAAGCTTATGTCCATTTATTGCACCTGTTTTTGTTGGTTTTGAGTAAATCGAATATACTACTCATTTTACTGGATAATCTTTAGTGTGTAACTGATAAAAATGGTTGAATTTTTCAAAAATTTTTCCTTGGCTTGTAGTTTTTTTCCATTGTTTTTTATATTGTCAGAGACATATTTAATTTTAATATTTAGTAGAGCTCAATAAAAAATATTTTACATATAAAAATATCCACCTTTCAATTTATATTAGTATGTAATGGGATTTCATTTCCCACTAAAGATGACACACTAATTTTATTTTGTTTTTAGATCCATATTATGCAAGACATCCAAACAGAACTGGCTGGTATCTCAATCGCCACAAAAGAAATAACCAAGAAAGGAATTTCTGGCAAAAAAGTAACAATCTGCACTGATAGCAGACAACCACTATTAGCCTTGAACAGACAGCGTGTCACCTCAGGGCTAGTACTAGAGTGCCACCAAGATTTAGCCAAAGCCTCGGTAGATAATAACATTATCCTGAGGTGGGTTAAAGGGCACGACAATAGTAAAGGTAATCGCATTGCCGACTCTTTAGCCAAGGAAGCGGCTGGACTAAGAATTTTAGGACCCAGTGGCACCCACGGCCTGATGACTTCGACAATTGCGGAACTAGTCAAATGTTACACCCATGCTCAATCCTTAAAGAGATGGGATGAAATCAAAGGATGTAATCTTGCCAGGATCACCTTGGGCGACCCTGGGAAGCTGGAGCCGAAGAAATATCTGGCGATGACCAGGAAAAATCTATGCCTTACAGTAGGATTTCTGACTGGCCACTGTCAACTAAGGAAACACCTCCATAATATGGGGCTAGTAGACACACCTCTATGCAGGATGTGTGAACAGGAAGATGAGACTGTCAGGCATGTCCTGTGCGAGTGCCTGTAGTTATCGTCAATAAGAGAGTGTGTGTTCGGCGAGTCGTGGCCTACACCTGCCGATATAAAGGAGATGTCTCCCAGCGACCTGTCCACCTTCCTGGAAAGGACAGGATGGACGATGACCTAGGTGGACAACTCCTCGGGAGGATGTACAATGGGTCACATGTGGCCTAAGTGCGTGGGCTTACACTCTCCCTCCCTACTCTACAGATTATGCGAGACATACACTGTGAAAATTAGTTAGATCTTGTAAATGGCAATCTTCTTCTTAGTTTATTTTTATTGTCAGTGATTCAAAAAAATATAACATGGTAAAGCAATTCTAAAAGCACTTGGAGCATGCACCTACTTAGAACTTAATTTTATGAAAATGACTTATAGAATGTGAAATAGCTTACCCTGCTGGTGTTCTGTCAATCATCCTCCTTCCAAAGTCCCGATGACCTCTAGGAGGAAAGTTGGGATTGTAATTTGGAGGAGGTCCTCCCAACGGTGGCCTACTTGCATCAAACATTGGCCTCGATGCTACATTGAAAGGCCTAGAAAACACAAAAAATTTCATTATAAAACATTATAAATAAAAATGACTAAATCTTCATTTCATGGATATTGTATTTCTTCTTACCCTGGAGACATATATGGAGCACCTGCAGGAGGTGGAAATCTATAATTCGGTGGTGGACCTTGAGCTGCCGGAAAGCCACCCATTGCCGGTTGGATTGGTTGATAAACTCCCGGAATAGCTTGAATTGAAGCAGCCTGTCCCATTATGGGTGGAATGGAACCCATTGGGATGGTACTGTTATAAGTCGTTGAAGGGTTATATTTTGAAGTTGGTTCATCTACTGTTGGAGTTCCAGATCTTCTTTCAGGAGAACTGAAATATCATTGAATATCATTCATTATAAATCCCTATAACTTTCAATCTTCAATTTTAACGTCTCAATAGGAAAGGAGAAATTAAAATCTCTGCAGTGATAACTTTCATATAGCCAGAATTTTGGGAAATTTCGGTTCTTCTTTAAAAATTTATAAAAAACTTACCCAGATCCCCTAAAAGAGGGAGATCGTGGATGCCTTCTAATTTTTCTGGGAGACATGCTTCTATCCCTGCTACGTTGTCTTCGGTTTGAACCTATAAAACAGAATTGGCATCAACAAGTCTATTCTAAAGAGATCTAAGAAACAATTATATTTTTAATTTTTTTTGTTTCACTAGATTATTCAATAATATATATTTCTCTGTGTATTTTTACTTTCCACAATCTGAAAAATATGAAAATTGTAATAGAGCACTTTATCCTTGTGGAAGGGGAAAAATATGCAAAGAAGGTCGATAAAATACTGATTTTCTCCACAAAAAATGACTTTCGTTCCGTGATTACTTACGTTCTTTTCCTTCCCTGGGTGAACTTCTTGAATCTAGAGGAGATTCGTCTTTACGTTTGTGACGCTCTTTAGGTGGAGGCGATCTTCTTGGAGAAACTCCAGGTGGACCTTCTATTGAATCCGATTCTGTTGATTTAGGAGGATCGTTGTTTTCATTTTCCTGAGAAATTAATGCATATCAGATGAATTTCCTAACCATATATAAGCAAGTTTTTGATCAATTTTGATTGAAAAAGAATGCAATGACACCATTCCGCCCTGTTATTCAAATAAAAATTTTTTTCTTAGTCAGTATTTGGATATATATCCAGTAACAAATAAACTATCAGAATTTCGTGATAAATAAAAAAGAGTGAATGTCAATATAACATAACATATGTTTAAAATATGTTTTTTCCGTCAATTAGCTGTTGCATTTAAATGTTATTAACAGATGACTCGGGCTGATAAATTATTTAAAATATATATTATTTTCAATAATACCTGAGGATAGTTGTCAATATCTACTTGTGAACCTTTTTTATGTATGGGTATAACCTTTGCCTAATATATTTCATGCTATGATAAAAAAATCACAAGTATGACATTCCTATTGCATATCATGCTGATTGGCGATTTCGTTAAGACATTTGTTCTTGGCCAGGAATTATAGAACATTAAAGTGTTCCTGAGGTTCATTAAAATTCAGCTGGCTTAGATCAAAATTATTATTAATTAAGAAATGATTACAAAATTATGTACTAATATGATTATTAGTTATTTCCAGACAAGAAAAAATGGCTTGGTGATAACTGATTTGGGTCAAGGGAAGAGAACATTGCAGAAATAGATTTATTTTGAGATCTTTCAGACACGTTACTATTTGGAAGACATAAAAAAATTGTAAAATGGATGAACAAAGAAGCACAATCCTGAAAAAAAAACCCTAACAATAGTTGACAACTACTAATAATTAGTGGTTTTCTAATCCCACAGCAGTTTGTGAACAAATCACGAAGTAAACTGTTTTTTATTATGAATTTCAACAATGATTGATGAATTTACCGAAAGAAAAAGTTTCTATTATCAGTGAAGAATAATCTTTTCGGGCCAAAAGAAAAAATGTAGAAAATAAATAACATTGATTCCTCAGTGTCACTATTTTTCGAGATTGAAGGCAGTTAATTTTCGCAATTTCTTCCTGACGTTTCACTGGCGTAAATGGCCGGCGTCTTCAGAGGTTTATACATCATGAGTTAATATCTTTGATGATTGGATATTACGTGTTATGTATGTATTATTACGCAGCCTTAATATCCAGGTATCGGAGATATCAACTCAGGATGAATAAACCTCTGAAGAAGCTAGCCACTCGCGCCAGCGAAACGTCAGGAAAAACCCAAAAATCCACGCTCTTCAAAAACCGAAAAATAGCGACACTTAAAACCTCGGCCGAGAAAGTCTCAATCATTTTGTCAACATTCATTCCTTCTTTTCAACTATAGTACAAAGGAAATGTTCCTCAATTTGGGTTTTAATACTTTACAATTTTGGTTTTAATACTTTACAGCAAATGCAATTTCCGGTTAAGTATTAAAATTGATATTTCAAATGTTGGGTTTTAATTTTTAAAGGGATTTGTTTCTAATTCACATATTGGCAACAGCGCCTATATCAAGTTGAAATAATTTATACGTACCTAGATATTCTATTTTGTTAATTACCTTCATAAATCAACAATTAAGGCAAAATATAAATTATAGTTCAATACCACCTCCACAAGCCACATAAACAACAGTTGTTTTGTTATTTATTTATATAGAGGAAGATAGGTTAGGTGCACAAAATGTCATATGTCACAGAATGTCTCGGAACTCGGAACATAAGTAAACAGAAATATGTTTACTTATGTTCCGAGTGAAATATGTCATCTTCATTCACACATTCATTGTCCTTTATTAGCTATAACCGATGTTGCCAAATGGTGAAATAGAAACGAATCCCTTTAAATGTTGAATGCATTATTTCATTCATCTTTTTTAAGTATTTGAATATGATTTTTAAAAGAAAAAGGTTGAAATGGTAAGTTTAAAATGCGTTGTTTTAGAGCTCTTTTATGAAAACTACTTGATTTTCGTCAGGAAGAACATTCCCCATTTCATAAAATTCTCAGAAATATAACTGTATTGAATTGAAAACATTTCTGTCATAGTTGTGATTCTATATTTTTCATCATCATTTTTTCTTATCTGTTTAGTATAATTTCCGTACGCCACTGCAAAATACAGATTAAGGAAAAAAAGTCAGTAATTTCTGAGAATTTAGTGCCTACTATTTGGGAATTATACATAAACTCAATCACTGAATATAAATCAACTAAACAAAAATATGCCTGTTTTTATTGTACGAGGTCTGTTTAAAAAATAAGGTGAATTTTAATTTTTCTCGAGAAATATTCATTTTCTAATTGGTTCCCTTCAAATTAGTCCCCCTCATATACAATACACTTGTGCCAGCGTTTTTTCCAATCATCAAAGCAGTTCTGAAATGCAATTTTTGGTATGTCCTCGAGCTCTCTTAGCGATTCAGTTTTTATCTCCTCAATCGTCGCGAAATGCCTCCCTTTTATGAGTCTTTTCAATCTTGGGAACAGAAAAAAGTCGCCGGGGGCTAAATCTGGTGAATACGGGGACCGAGGCGAGATTACGCGGTTGTTTTTTGGCAAAAAAAATACGCACAAGCAATGACGAGTGAGCAGGTGCATTATCGCTATGCCAAAGCCATAAGTGGTTTTTCCACAATACCGGACGTTTTTTTCATATTGCTTCTCGAAAGGGGAGCATAACTTTGAAGTAACTCTTTATTGACCATATGCAGCAAGAATTCTTGATGCACTACGCCGCTATAATAGAAGAAAACAGTGAGCAAAACCTTGACATTTGGAATGATTGGACTTTGGTTTCAATGTTATAACCATGATTTGTCTCCGATTATCACCCTTTTAAGCAAATCTGGATCGTAGTTGACATCATTGAACAATTCCTGAGCGATGCTCATGCGACTTTTTTTTGTTAAACTTTAGCAATTTTGGAACGAACTTTGCTGCCGACATCATCAGCATTTTCTCTAATAGTAATTCGACGATTTTCCATAAAATTTTTTTTTTCACTTACACATTTTCATCGGTTGTTGATATGCTGGGGCGAGCGCCCTCATTCACATCTTTCTGATCTTCTGTCAAAAGCTTGTATCACTAGTAAACATCTCTCTGAACAAGAGTACAATCACTGTATGCCATTGTCAACATGTCACCTTATTACTATTTTTACATAGAATTTGATCCATTTATCGATAGCAGAAAATCGGCAAACATGCAAAACTACCATTCAAGCAGGTGTGTCATTAGTTTTGTGCTCCTGATTTATTTGCTTTTTCTATAGTTAAAGTTGATAATTTTTCTTATTTCTTTTTCCATCCATTGAGCAATCTTAGTGTGTTGAATAGTATAAATATATTAAAATTTCAACTGCGAAGTGTCATAAATTGCAGTTGTTTGGTGTAATAAACTAATTCAAGGCGACTGATCACTTTTTGTTGGCTGTAACAGAAAGCACCTTATCTCCAAAGCAAAAAAGAGGTAAATTCCTTCACATAGAAATTCTACCAGGCCGCACTAAGGATAAATTGCCATTAGGAGCCATTAGGATGTCTGATATGTGTATAAAATGCAATCAAGATCTTGGAGATAAATATGCTGTATGTGACAGTTGTCACTCTGCGCAACATCCGTCAGAACAATGCAAAGAGTTAAGCTCATCGGAACTTCGAGCTGTAGTTTTGACGAAAAGAACATTGACGTAGTTCTGTCAGGAATGCCGAGTTTCCTTCAGGAATGTTCCGGCACTATTAAGAGAAGTGAAAAGTTTCAAAACAGAAGTTACTTCTTTAAGAAGTGAGATGAATATCCTCAAAACAGAAGTTAAATCACTAATAACTGAAAAGATGGCTTTGAAAACTGAGATAAATGATCTTAGAAATGAAGTGAAGCAGATAAAGGTAAATGAAGTTAGTGAAACTACTCCAACTGAAAGTATCATTATGGAACTACTAGAGCACCAAAGAAGATAAGCTAATATCATGGTAGCTATTGTTAGAGAGGCGCAGGCAACATCCCCTTTGCAAAGAAAAGAAGAAGATGCAAATGTAGTTAAGGAAATACTAAAGAAAGTCGGTGTCAATGTTAATCTTGACAACATTACAATATTTAGAGTTGGAAAAGTTATACCAAATAAAAATAGATTAATAAAAGTAGTTACGATGAACAAAAAAGAAGGAAGTACCATATTAAGAAATATCTCTAGTTTCGAAAGTTTTAATCAACTTGAATTGAAAGATCTTACAGAAATTCTTAATAGGTTGGAAAATAAATCTGGAACAGCAATCTTAGATATCAAGTTTATTAAAGGTACGTTTGGAGTCATTGGTCATGTTTTGTTACATTATATTAATATCTCTCTCCAATATGGGCAATTTCCTGAGCAACTGAAAACTAGCATAATAATACCTGTTCCCAAAGTCAAAAATACTAATAAAGCGGGAGAATCCCATCCAGGAAACACCTTACCAGGAATGGAGAAACTACTAGAGATGGCTGTATACGATCAGCTCCTAAGTTATGTTGAGGCCAATAATATTCTCATAAGTAATCAATCCGGTTTTAGGAAAAATCATTCTTGTGAAACGGCTTTACAACTTACGATTAGTAAATGGACTCAATCTATTGACAACGGAGATTATGTTGTAACAGTATTCTTAGACTTGAGAAGAGCTTTTGAGACAATTGACCGTAACATATCAATGAAAAAATTGGAAGCTATAGGTCTTAAAGGAACAGTGCTAGGATGGTTTAAGGACTGCTTAAGCGATCGAAGACAAATCACTAAAGTTGGTAATGTTCTCTCATCTCCTATTAACGCAAAATTTGGGGTACCTCAAGGAAGTGTCTTGGGCCCTTTACTATTTCCTAAATATATTGATGACATCAGTTTATGTCAAAATTGTGACTTTATGAAATTATTTGCTGATGATACAATGGTAACAACATCTCATAAAGATTTAGAGATAGCTTTGACAAAAATAAATATCTGCTTAGAGGAGATTCAATAATACTTGAACGTCAACAAATAAAAACTAAACGTGCCTAAAACAAAAGCCATGATTCTGACTACAGCATATAAATATATAAATATAAATTCCTATTCTTTGGAAATTAATGATGAAAAAATAGAATTTGTAACCAAAATTAAATACCTGGGATTCATATTAGACAACTGTTTATCTTACGATGCACACTTCAAATACATAACTAAAAAAATATCAAATAAACTTTATTTTTCTACTCGAATCTCTTATCACTTGTCAGTTTCTTCCAAGGTCACTATATTTAACACAATCATTCAGCCTTATTTCAAATATTGTAGTACATTACTATATGGGTGTGATCAAAACAAAATTTCGACTTTACAAAAACTACAAAATCGTGGAATGAGAGTTATATTAAAATGTAATTATTATACAAGCATAAAGTTTATGCTTGACGCATTACAATGGTTATCAATAAAATAAAGGTTCTATAGATCAGCAATGATATTTATTTTTAAGACTATTTATAATATGTTAGCATCTTATTTTGATGAATTCATTACTTATCGTGATAGTACTCACAATTACGAGACAAGACAAAGATATCTTTTTCACTTGCCAAGACGCAGATTAACCAGCTCAATGAAAATATTGTTTTATAAAGGTTTAAAGCATTTTAATAAGCTGCCAAGAGACATAAAACAAAGCGAAAGTATTTATATATTTAAATTTAAACTAACCAACTATATTAAAACAAACACAATTTTGTAGGAAAAGATTGAATGATGCAGAACATCAGCAGTCTTAAATAACATTTATTATCATGTATCAGCATGTTTTAAATGGTTAATATAGTCTTATCTAGGTTAGTTGACTTTGAATTTTATTTCCTTTTCTATTTTATTTCTCAACATTGTTAGGTTACAGTCATATGTATGAATCTAGTTATTAGTTATTATTATTGTTGTTTATGGACATATTATTATTGTTTACAGATTTATTATTATTATTGTATATTATTATTATATGTATATTAGGATTTCCTAAATAAACGTATTCATTAATTCACTAACTGGATGTCATTAACAAATTAAACATGCTAAACAGTTGAAATTGTGAACGTACTTTCTATACAAGTGTACTAACAAAAAAAATAAAAAATCACTAACTAAATGTACGTAGCCCGTGAAATTTGAACATTCCCCTTAGTTTTTGAATAGACCTAGTAGAACTTTCTGACTGCATATGTTTTTCACCTCATACACTGAAATATCTGTGTTCACATTTGAAAAGGAATAATATATTTTTAGTGGCAAAATTAAGTGTGGGAGTTTTTACTTTATATAAGTAACTTTTTCAAGTTTCTTGTACAATCTATTTCACAGGTAAACGCTTTCATTATATGTATCATTAATGTTGGATTATTTATATCATAAATCTTACCTTGAGAAACTCAGAATTTTTGCTAGTCGTGGCAGATTCTGTGGAGTCAGCCTCTGAAATGACAGGTTTTTGTTCCGTTTCAACTTCTGTTATAGGAGCAACTTCACGTGGAGGTGGCGTGAGCTGAAATAGTTATTATTATGAAAATGCAGCTCAATGGCAGTAATAATGAATCACAGAGTGAATAATTTTGAATTGTGAAATGTAGCATTCAAAACTCTAGTTTGTTTATTATTATGTGGATCATATTGCCCTATATTTAATTTGAAATGAAATATTTTCTTGGTGAAACTACCTTTTTATTTTATACTTCATCATCAGGAACGTTAAATAACATTATATAGCATTTCTGTAATTTCTGTGTAATTCAATGTTCAAGTTTGAAAATCACATGAATTTTTATTCCAGTTTTCATCTGCAAAAAACCTCAGCATGTCATGACTACACTTCTTGTAGTCTTCATGTAGTAAGGAGTCTTCATTGATGTATTACATTTTTTTTTCTTAGGATTTTTACACTTTCTGTATAATGATGGAGCAGCAGAAAGTGAAAAAAAAGTATTTTCTCGTTCCCTATAAAGTGTGTGTCACATCGAGATTCCATTGATAGTTTGAGATGAAAGAGTAAAATTATCAAAAAATGTTTCACATAAAAGTTTCAAATAACAATACATTGGGTAGAACATAATTTCATTCAAATGAAATGACATAATGTAATGTGGGGTAAGTGTTTGCCAAGTTTAACTTCGTCAAGAGCTCAAAAATCTGCCGACAATGCCAAGTTGATATATATTTTTGCTCTGGATATCTATAAATTCCCAGTTTTCAATTATTCATTTATTTATTCACGGGTTTAAAAACCCATTTCACTCAATACAATAAAAAAGGATGTGGGGTTGCATACGGAGGAAAGGTATTCAAGATGAATTCTTACTGGCATGCAAAGCATTTTGAGAGACTAAACAGTAAATGATATGTGGGGCCGAAATGAAAGTGATGTGTCTAGAAGTACACAAGTGTTTTAATTTCGTATCATAATTGAGTGCCACTCGTCAGTTCAAGATAGTGACCATCATCGACCTAAAGTCAATGATATTCCATAATAGGCTATGCTTCGAAACATAGCCCACTAACTAATAAGAAAGTTTTTTCCTTATTCAGAGGAATCGGGCAAATTTCGGATATGCAGTTGGTTAGTACCTCGTCCACTAGATGGAGTGACATTTTTTATGTTCGTCCAACTTAAGACGTGGAATGAAATGCTGTGAAAGAATTTCGATTTCCAATTATGGAATATCATTGACTTTAGGTCGATGCCTATTACATATGCAGGACATTTTCTGTGAAGATTCCTGCACTGACGCCTGTCGGATATAATCCAACGCCGTTCGTGTTATTAGCTAGTGGAGTAGTTGTTTTCTGATAGATCTACTGTGTATCCGAGACGGGCTTGAACATTCAAAGTTCAAACATTATGGAATGGCAGTTACGTGTATCAAGCTCCATACCATTCACAGAACACCAAGTAGAAATATAGGAATGTAGGTTTTCACAGCTGGCGGCAATGACGATGACTGCTGCAGTCATCAGAGATTATAACCAAAGAAGACAATGGCAGAACCCGGAAGCCAATCAAAACACCAAGTACAAAGTTGATTCATTTCGCCCTGGAATTCAAGCGAAGCTTGGAAATTATCCATTAGATAAACAGTACTGAATGTCTTCCATAAAAACATTGAACTGCAATGGTCCAAAATGGGATCCTTGGAGAATACCGGAAGGTACTAAACTTCCAGAAGATTTAAATCCGTTAACTCGTGTTATCTTTACACGATTGGAGAGATACTTTGTATCCAAGATAGGAGATTTCAACAAACTCGCATATGTTCGAATTTTTTTTATTATTCGAGTATGGTTGACTTTATCAAACGTCTCGGAAAAATATGTGTACGAGTAAAGGCATGAACTTGGTCCACCTACGTCCAAGACGTTTGAGAGATAATCTATATAGACATAATAATATTCATCGACCATTGGCGTTACATTAAAAGTAGGTTGATACTAATTGATGAAGGAGGATATTTGTGTGGAGTCATCAAATGTTCATCGGAGTTTGTATAGAGTGTGTTTTTAGTTACAACCAAATCGAAAATGGAACCATCATTGTGAACGTTATTTATCTGAAATAAATTGTGAAAGGTGCACATTACTACAAATGTTAGAAACAACATCAACTGCGATGATTTTTGACCTGCTTGAGCAAACAAGTGGTGTGGCTGAAGAGCATAAATCAACGTGGATCCATATAGCATTGGAAAGATTGAAATCACCCAGAATCAAAATTGGTGTATCCGCAAGTATGACTAATGCAGTTGTTCCGTCAAAACAGGGTTAGTGTGCAACCGACCAGCAAAATGTTTGTTTGCTTTCACTTTGGAATGTGTAGAAAAAGCAACCTTCAATGATAATTTTCCATTTTGAAATTTCAAAATAAGATGAAGTTCGCCGAGTTAACAATTTTTTAGACCTTCAACTTTGCAGATAACTGATAAGGCACCATGTGACTTTGTAACTTTTATTAGTAGTGTTGGCACTCTCTGGAGGATTAGTATTATTTGGGAAGGGGTCAATGATCAATTTTACGTTTGAGATTATATTTTCAATAGGAATTTCTCAGGACTCATTGAAAATAATTGATAGTTTTGCTCATCTGTATGGCCTAGAGGAAGAAAGTATTACTGGAGTTTAATCTTCCTCTTGAAGATGATCACCTGGTGATCGAAACACGCGATAAAAAACACATCGTTAAAAATAACGATTTGGGGTTGGGATAAAACTCCAATAATGTTCATTACTACACCAAAGGTTCCAAACAGTGCATCACAAGTAGAGGAGATGAGTTATGTTTATGGTAAATTGTTAATGGTTCGAAGGTGTGATTTATCGACCGTTTGGACTACTTACTCAACAAGAAACAGTAAATTAATAGTTACTTTTTCAATAGTTGTAGAAAAAAAGTTTCAAAACATACTTTTGATGAATACAATAGTTACGGAATGAAATAAAAAAAAATATGCTATTTGTATCCATATCAATAACAACCCAAACAATATATTACAATGTAAAATAAAAATGCCGCAATTGTTTTGTTTTTTTGTGAATTCGTCAGTAGCTTTCATTGAAATTTGCATTCCATTCAGAAGTCGTATTATTGAAGAACACTTTTTTCTGAAAGCAATTAACCTAGATGTCATTGAGAACTACAACAAACTTTAATGAAATGAATAAAAACACTTTTGTCTAATTATCACTAGTTGATTTTATTTATATGACCGGTTTTGGGTTTGACCTCATTACCAAGTATAAAACTGAAATGTGAATATAGAATAGAGTGTGGCAAATGCCCTGCAGTAGAAACCGGTAAAAATTTTGACATAAGGATGCGTGAACACGTCTGTTTGGACAAAAAAATCTACAATGTACGAACACTTTTAAGAATCAAAACACAAGATAAGTAACCTCAAAATCCTACACATATGTAATAAAAGGAAAAAAATGAATTTGTTGGAAGCCATGGAAATCAACAAATCAATTAAAAACCAGAAGTATATACCCCTAAACGAGCAACTCGATTTATGTCGGTCTCCTCTCTTGAATTTATAAGTTTAACAACCCCTAGAATTTTCAGTGTTGAATTTTAAAGTTGATATCCTGGTTCGCCCAACTACCTGTCTTTCAAATACATGTCCTTACATCTTACCTGAAAACTCCCAATATAACAGAGTTTTCAAACTTCACATTTCAGTTTTATACTTGATAATGGGGTCAAACCTGAAACCGGTCCTATAAATAAAATCAATTAGTGGTAATTCGACAAAAGTGTTTTTATTCATTTCATTAAAGTGATCATGAATTACCACAACATAAACAAGTCATCAATCACACATACAACAAGCCATATTTCCACAGAGGTCGACTAATCATCTAATTTTTCTTCAAAAAATAGTTAGTGAAACCTGGGAAATGTCGATTGACTTTGAAATTGTCTTTCAATCTTTCATTACATCAAATGATATTGATAAATTGAAAAATATATTGAAATGTTTATAAATATATCTCACTTACCCCTTTTACGGGACTCAACTTAGTATTTCCAGTATTATCTGGTTCTTTGTATACCTGTTTCTTAACATATCCTGTAGTGTTCTTGAAATTGGCAACCGATTTCCGTAAAAATCTATAAAATAAAAGTAGAGATTACATTCCTGAATAAGAACCTATCATGATTCAAATATATTGGCCCATGCTCTCAATGGTTTACTCCGAACTTACACAATAAAACACAAAGTTGGTTCAACCCATAAATTTGTTCAACTCATAAACACACAAATGTAAAATAATCCTAAAATTAGAAGAACTAGTCAATATTTTACCTATTGGGGATGAGGGTGTCTGGTAAAATGTCTTTCTCATGACAATCAGGACACTCGTGGTCCTCGCTTTCTAGTAACACTCCTCGAATACATTCGTCGCAGAAGGAATTACCGCAGCATGGAATCATAACAGCATCTGTCAAAAGATCTGAACAAATACTACACACCAAGTCTTCTGGTATATCAAGTTTTGGTTCAGGAACTGGAGTGGGGACAACTTTCTGGTTATATGCCTGATGATCCACTAGAGGAACAGCATACTGTCCATTAGGGGTCATCATGGCTCCTGGGACTTGCGGACCTTCGACAGCTACCATAAAACTTCTAGGTATACCGGTGCTCTTTCTGATTTCCACTGGGTCCTAAAAAATTATCTTTTATTAAATGCTGAAAAAGAGTTAAATATTGAAAATACTCTTTCCAATACTCATTACTATATTATTTAATTTACAGCATCCTGATTAAAACTGATCTGGCAATCTGAAAATATTATGACTTGAAACTTTTTACACGATATTAATTGAAATTTAAAATATTATGACTGAAGCAACATATTTCTCAAGGGATTTATTGAACCATTCAATATTAAACTTCCTTAAATTTTTTTCAATTACTGTAATAAATACTTACTGGTCCTTGAGCAAAATTACAGTCCTTGATCCAATGTCCTCCTTGGTGACACTTGTAGCACTTATAATTTGGTGGTACGTTTCCTACTTGGTTGGATCCTCGAATTTTCAAGTAACTGGAAAAAACATATATGATTATCACTACTAAATTGATGCTACAGTGTTAAACTCTGATTAGTTTCACAATTATAATGATTATTGAGTTGTCACCACTTGGAAATAACTTTTATAAATAATGTTGAGAATGAAGAGTAAGAGAACAACATACTTTACACAAGACTAAAAAAAACCGACAACGTTTTTGAGGACTAAACAGAGGAACCAAAAAAGCAAAAGAAGAAAATCATAAAAACTATATTCAAAAAACTATATCAGGTAAAAACTACAAAAGAAACTACTCTCCATAAATCAAGGATATTCCACAAAATGGTCATATACGGTGCAACAATGTTCTACCTACCAATCCAGCAAAATAGAGATTCATTTTGAGGAATTGAACTTAAGTATTTATAGTAAAACCTGTTATCAATAGTTCATAACTGATATTAGTGAAAATATGTGAAGCATTTAAGTTGAATTAATAGGCATTGTAACTCAACTCTCATCTCAGTTACGCAAGAAAGTATGTTTCAAAAAATGAAAGATGGAAGTCATACATATTTTTGAAATCATCCCTGGATTTTCATTCATTTACCACTCGAATTTCAGAAAATCTCAGTAGTAAACTATGGAAATATAAATAGATGAAGTTTAGCTCAGTTATTCCTAGTTGAAACACATTCTCCCACCAATGACCTAGCTTTTAGTCATGCACATAACAATTTTCCCACTAAAAACCTCCCAACTAAGACTAGTCAGAGTGATGTTTTTCTTTCAAAATAACTCCGGTTGTTTAAAAATGTCACTTGAATTGTTCATTTACTAAGCTCATCAATTATCTTTAGATTTTTGTTATTTTATATTAGAAGAAAAATCCTCCTTTGCAGTTGCACTGACAAATAACTTTCACATAAACTCCCAAAGATTTTCATGAAATTTGAAAAATAAAACTTCCTATGTTTTTATACCACTTGTATTTGTAACCAATGTTACTGCAGTTTTATCCTATAGGGACATTTTCAAATGAATACAATAAACTGAAAAAATTGATAATGTTAACCCTTATATATCTATACATCACGGTTTTTTATTAGTTTATTATATAAGGGTTAAGATTATCAATTATTTTAGTTTATTGTATTCTTTTGAAAATGTTAGTAAATCCGTTAAACTTATCAATATTAAAAAAAAGTTGTTACTGATGTTAATGAAACAGCATGGCTTATTTCTTTTCATGGAAAGCTGAATATACAGAAATAAACTCCAACTGAACAAAAATGAAACGGTTCATTAATTCTACGTTTTCTAAAGGAACTGAGAATAAGATGAGCTCTAATATAAAGAAAGAAAAAAAAATCTGCTTTATTGTCCTCGATTACACATAGTGATACAGAATGAATGCATGATGCACAAGAATATAATAGTTATTTGTTTACTTAAATGAAATGAATAAAAACACTTTTGTCTAAATACCACTGGTAAATTTCATTCATACGATCGGTTTCGGGTTTGACCCCATTATCAAATATTAAACTTGATATATACTTGATAATGGGGTCAAACCAGAGAAACCGGTCGTATAAATAAAATTTACCAGTAGTATTTAGACAAAAGTGGCATTTCATTCAAGTGATCATGAATTACCATAAAGTAAACAAGTCATCAATCACACATATTAGTTATTTGTATAACTAGGCAGGGAAGTAATATATCAACTGCCACGGCTAGCATTACATTCCCAAGGCAATGAAACTAACCAAGGCAGTAAATTTGTTTTTCTGCTTTTTGTTCTTACATATACAGGGTGTAACTAAATAAGTGTGAAACATTTAAGAAGGCGATTCCTCATCAAAAAAAAGATAGGATCTTTCATATGAAGAAATTTCATTGGAGCATCCCTTGTTAAGGTACAGCCCCTTAAAGGGGGTACATGAAATGTATATAACCATTTTTTTCACAAGCACTAAAAAAGTTACAATATTGAAATTAACCTAACGTTTTGTACTACTAAAAAGAAACTTAGCCAGAAATTTATTTGGTTTACCCCATGGTTGTAAGGGGTGGAAAACGCAACCCCTGAAATTTATTTCCAATGTAACTTTTTGTCTTAGTATTTGTTTACCATTCAATACCATTTCCGATAGCCTGTTTCATTCTAAACAAAAAATGTCTCTTGGTTTTTTTGCCCAAAATAAACCAGTTCGCAGCAAAAAATTATTTAAAAATTAAGTTTATTTTCATACCGAATTTTATTACATCAAGAACTCTAGAGTTCAGTATTGCGAAAATTTATTGAATTCAACTAGCAAAGAACCGAATATTTGAAATATGTTGTTTTTAGCCGTGTTTAAAAGTGATGTTACGGTAAATAGACACAATTTGCACTATTGGTTGAGAGAAGTTTGTTTGGGGGAGCATAATTGGAATCGGGTCATAGGACCATATTTCTTTAATGGGCATCTGAATGAAAAAATTTATAGAGATTTCTTCTGAAATAATTCATCAAAAATTTTTGGTGGATATACTGATTGCCACAAGGTATAGGGTCATATTATCATTATGATGGCACGCCTCCCCACAACCAGAATCAGGGAAGGAGGTTTTTGAATAGGTGGATTGGAAGAAATACACCCATTCGCTGATTTCTATCAATGGGAATTTACGTTGAAGGAGAGGTCTATCAAGAGAAACCAACGACACCAGAAGACATGAATAATAGGATTAGAGACGTTTTCTGGTCTAGTAGAAGATCAATTATAATTGAAGTTCGAAGGGAAATTGTTGATATACTAACTACATTTATGCATAGCTCAAAATGGAAGATTGTCTGAACGTCTAATGTAAATTTGTGCGTTTTAAAATTTTTCATATATAGTCAGTGGGCATACTTGAAGACTTTATTCATCAATATAATAATATACAAAAACAAAAATAATGATGAAAGGCGAAGTTCAGCTTAAGCTGTTTTTGAACTTAACCTAGTTAGTTATATAACGTGTGGTTTCTAAACTCACTGGGAAGTGCATTGTAGAGGAAAACTGAATTATATAAGAAACTTCGAGTGAAACAAGCTGTGGAGTGTTTGAGAATGATGAATTTATCACGATATCGGGTTTTAGAGTGACTCTTTGTTTCAAATGTTGCGTATCTTTCAAATAAATAGTAAGGTTTCTTTTGAGAGATCAATTTGTGAGTTGCAACAAGAAAGTGCGGTTGCCTAATTTTAATCAGTTTGAGCCAACCAGATTCCTCAAATTTAGCTGAGATATGATGAAACTTTCTTACACCATAAGAGAACCGTATACAATTGTTCTGAATTTTCTGGAGGCATTGAACAATTTGTTCAGGCCAGTCTCAATTCCTACACTGTAGGTTAATGAACTGACACATATCAGAAAACAACTACTCCCCTGGCTAATACCATGAAGGGCGTTGGATTATATCCGACAGGTGTCAGTGCAGGATTCTTCACTGAAGTTCCAATAATTGAAAATCTATTGCGGCAGTTGTATCGCCAACAGCAGGAATAACTTCAATGAAGAATCCTGCACTGACACCTGTCAAATATAATCCAACGCCCTTCGTGGTATTAGCCAGGGGATTAGTTGTTTTCTGATAGCTGTCACTCCATTAACCTACAGTGTAGGGAGTTGAGACTGGCCTGAACGAATTGTTCGTTTAGATGATTCATTTTAAAATTGTTTGCTTTCATTTTGCTACTTGTTTGGTCCAGCACTGAATAAAAAGAAAGTTATTGTTTCTATGTAATGACTTTTTCATACTTTCGTCAAGAATTTGATACATTTCCAATGGAAATAAAGAAGTCGATCCCTACATTTTCTGAAAGCTCACAGTATGGACTATTCTGGGATAGCCTAGGTACAGGGTGTTTCATTAGAAAAAACTGAGAAAAAAAGTGATCCCGAGTTTTGTTTTTCCCTGTATAGAAAAAGCGACGTTTGGTAAACTTATGAAGACGAAATGAAAGAATAATATCCTCAATGAACCAATTTTTGAAATAAATTTCACTATAATTTCTGATCCACCCTATATAAACCTAAACCATACTTGTGCACCTTGCCCAAGAAATTCAATCGAGTGAAAATATTTAGAGTATTCTATTAAAAAAACAGTTTGGTCTGTCACACATTAATTGGAACCCTGTATATTAGTAATAATTATTGAAACATAGCTTTCATTAATCTTTTCAACTTTTTTCCGAAACATTTTTTGTATCCCTAATAGGAAGCAGCTATCGTTCACCCGCCTTTTTTTATTTAAAAAATATAAAATCGTACAGTTCAACATAGTTAGGGACACTATAAATATGAAATATGTTGTTATTCTCCCTAATCAGAAAAAATGCTGGTCTCAGGATTCACAAACATTCAACATGACAAGTGAAACACAAAAACTAGATAACCACTACAAAGCTCATAGTAGTAACGCATCAGACATGTGCCTAGAGGCTCAGATGTTCTTTTAAACCTCTTGATGAATGAACTATAGCCCGGCAACTCACGTATATGGACAGATATATTTCATTGAAGACTTTTATAGCCTTTATAAAAGGATGGTATAATCCTTTGCTCGTTCTTACCATGCTCAGGTGTAAGTCATTTCTACCCCTTGTATTATACTCATAAAACTGCTTGTTGACTAGTAGATCGTTGTTGCTTCTGATCCTTTTGTTTTTTTCATTTTATTTATGTTATTGCATTGCTCAAGTTTAAGTACATATTCAATTGGGTGTAGTTCAGTCTGTGAGAATAAATCATTTGTGTGGGTTCGAAATGGAATTTGAAATAATATTTTCATTGATTTATTTTGTAGCCTTCGAACTTTTTTGAAATTAGTAATACCACAATTACCCCACATGATTAACAGATACCTAAGATTTGCCAATATATATGGATTGTAAACCAAGTATCTATTATTGAAACTCAAGTAACTGGAACACCTATATAGAGCTCCTAAGATTGGTACAATTTTATCATTAATATGTTCTGTGTCCTGACCAGTTTATCATCTATTATGAATCCCAAATACTTGGTTTTTGCAACATTCATTAAGGGTAAGTTATTTATTCTCAATTCCATATTTCCACAAATTCTATTTTTTTATTAAATAGCATGTAAACGGTTTTTGCAGAGTTTATTATGCGCAAGCCAATTTGAGTAATTAGAGAGATTCTCCAGTAAATGTAAATCATTGTTGATTATCCCTGTATTAGATATTAGAACCAATTTAATAGCAAAGAAGACTAATTTTGAAGAAACAAAAATACAGCTTTATAATGAATTGATCCTTTCCAAGGCACAACAAATTTTTTGTTCCAGTAAATATTTAATATATTGAATATGAATCCTATTTTTACCATTTACTTTAGATATGTATCGATAAAAATCAAATAGAGATGTTAATGTCTTAATATGATATTTATTTACATTCAATCTATAACTATTCATACGATTCTATATTTGTATTTAAACTTAATGCAAGTACGGATCTGCCTTCGGCGCTGAATTTCAGGCTTCACTTGCTCGCGTCTATAGTCTTACTTATGCGTATTCCACGGATCCAAGTGAGTACTTCCAGCCAGAACATAACTCCGTATTTGAGGAAAGGAAAGATAGTTCCATAATATGCTGCTTTTAGTGCAGCTGTATTCAAGTGACATCTTGAAACTCTAAATGCATAACATTTGCTAGCAAGTTTTTTTGCTAGCAAAAAATTTGTCGTGATAGACGCCTAACATTTTTGTACATGATGAAAAATATAACTTTTCAGGGCCCATGTTCACAAACTCTGGAAAAATTATGGAGATATTAATGGTTTTGAAAACTATACAATTAGTTTTGGCTGTGATCAAAATAAGCTCATTTTGAATAAAATATATTACGAGTACTTTCCAAATTCATATAGCAGTCAAAAGGTGAGAAGAAATTGGAATCATCAGCATAACCGATAAGTCTGGTGCTGGTGTTTTCAAAGATTTCAGGAAAATCATTTATACAGGGTGGTAGTGGGTTTTACAAAATAGCCTTCTCAACTAAAATATTTTCAACTTCCGGTCTCTTTCCGTTATACCGAAAGTTGGGGGCAACTTCTTTATTTCAAATGGGACACCCTGTATTTTATTACATTTTTGAATTTCTCAGCACATTTTAGGCCCACTTTGTGTAACAATGCACATATCCAAATTTGTTAGTTTTCGAGACATTCAATTTTTTCTGAAAAATTTGACAATTACAGCACCACTCCGAATAAATCATAACTCATAGACAGTAACAGTTGAAAATGTGAAATTTCACAAAATCACACCTTAAGCATCAAGTCATGAACAGGTCCATCGAATTTTCGAAAATAATTTACAGGGCAGTCGAAATTTCCACCTAAAACATAACATCGAGAAAACTGATGAAACACTATTCTATTATTTTTGGATACTACGAAAAAAAAGATATCAAATTCATGAAGAATGTCCTATACCTAAAATACACCCCTGGCAAGATATATCCAATTGTGGAAAATAGGGAAATTGAAAAGTTCTTGAATTTTTCTTAAAAATGTATTCCATTTCTCATTCACGTCAGAAATATTTCATTTCAACTATGTTGCTCTACTTGTAGTGTATGTGTGTCGTCGAAAGAAGTGCCATCAATTCATGAAGCATTTGAAAAAGGAGTGCAGTATTGCATACAGCAAGACTTCTGTACTCCCACAAGTAGAAATGGCTTACTGTGCCTGAACGGAAGCAAAAGCCAATATTAGAGAGAGGAGAGATCTTTTATATATGAAATTATTATCACTTTTGATATTAGTCTGTGGATGTTGAATAATTGAGCACTATGGCCAGAAAGGCAGTAATCAATAACAGCCTAAGTATACTTTACTTGGGATTTGATAATGATGTTAACAATACAAGTTTTCGATCTGTTGGTTATGCGGGTATATTCATCAACTGTCATGAGTTTCGAAAGAGTTTAGCAAATCTGAAAACACATATTTTTTTAGAGTCTACTGTCAAATTCAAATCAAAATCACCTGTAATGATAAATGAAAACTCGTGCAGCGAGGACATTTTTGTGAAGAATACTTGCAAACTCTCATACATGAAACTAAATACACAATATTGCCTAGTTAAAATTCTGCATATTCAAAGTAATTGATTAACGTTAACCCACATATGTCATTTCTTGATTTACCTATCATACAGTCTTTGCCATAAATTGCAGCTTCTTCATGGCTGTTAACTCAGCCTTCGTTTGAATTGTGGACAGAAAAGATAGACGTCCGTATAATGTTCAGTTATAACATATCAAAACCTGTTTATTTATCCTTGCAAGTAGATACAATTTTTCAAAATTCAGTTTCATTTTAAATTGTGGAAGGCACATTTCGAAAGACAGAAAAGATGGACGTCCGTTTAATGTTCAGTTACAACATACCAAAATCTGTTTATTTATCCTTACAAATAGATAAAATTTAGCTTCATTTTGAATTGTGGAAGGCACACTTCGGAAGACGAAAAAAGGAGGAGAAATTTCTTATTTTTTGATATTCATATACATTCGACAACAAAGCATTCATTTTCTTGATTAATTTTGAATCACTGCTAACGCAACTAATGAAATTTCCATTGAAAAAGTGTCATACATTTTCATATAATAATATGAATTCAAACTTTTTGTATGGAATGCAAAAGAAAGTGTCAAGTAAAACTCCTTAGTACATGATACTAGAAAAAAGGTGACATTTCATGAGTTTTTATAATCAGAAGTGAGTTGCTGAAATAGTCAATTTTTGGACTTTTGGATAGCCATATCTGTAAAAGCATCCAATATCCAATCAGTTACATTTTGAGTTCAGATTTGTAATAAAAAATTATAAACAGCGTGAGCCGATTACCTGAATAAATATCTAACAATTCATAAGTAGAGTTGAAAAAAGTACAGATTTAGCTGGAGTCCCTTTTCCTGATAATTACCTCTGTGAATAAATTTACCGGACAAGACAATTTTAAAGATCTACTTACTTGCTTGGGTCATAGTCCTGAGTAGATTGAGACATCATCGCTTTAATTTTATCATCTTCGGGGGCATCCAAGCTAGACAAATCTACTGCCTTAGCAATGGGACCACCTTCATCCACTTTTGAAGGTGGTGTATTATCTCCTCCATAACCCTCCCACTGTTTTGTTTTCTGAGGAATCACTGGTATTCTAGCAATTAGTAGTGACGTATTTTTTGGTATAAGGAAATTCTCATCAGTGTACACTAAAATTTTTGGGATGAGCAATTTTCAGCACTTTGTTAATCCTAACTTACCTGTTTTTGTTTGAGCATTTGTTACTTGTAAATCAAAATCAGTGCTCTTTCCAATCCGTTTTTGTTGTATAATGGCGTTCTTTAAATCTTTCACTGAAATATGTAGTCCATCAAAAGTTACCGTGTCATATTCTAGGGCCGACTTGAACTTGTAGTGCACAGACATAGCAATTTATGTAAAATGAGAAATAGTTTCTCAAACAGATGATGAAAACCAATTAGATATTCAGTTTGACAGAAGTCCTATTATTTTATTGATTACCCTTCAATACTCATCATACAATTCAATAAGACATTACTTATTGGTAACAATATTCCACTTATTTCTCATGTGCATGTTCACATAATCGGACATTAACATGATTTTTAGTCAACACATTACATGCCCGTACACGAGCTTTGAAAACTAAAATAAAATGGCGAAGTCGGTCAACTAGAAAACTGGTTACTAGTATCGCAGTTTCATATAGCACTTTCAATAACATGAACTAGTGTGCACAATTCGTATAACGTATTGTCCTACTGAATCTATGAAAAAGAAAAAACTTGCAGGAATTCAATTCTGTTTAGTTATCACTCTTTACACACCAGTTAGTTGTTGTGATCTGTGTGTGCACCAGTCACACGTCATACCTCCATTACTCTTCTTCTCTGTTCTCTGTTTCTATCACTAAACTCAGCAGGCATCAATCAGTAAAACATATTCGATAAATCGATAATAAGATCATTGTTGCCAACTACTGTGCCTAAATCGAAATATAGCTATATTTTCTGTTTTCAAATTTTACTTTGATTGATTTTTGTAAGCAGACAAAATCAGAAACAATAGTTGAGTTGAGAGTTTTACACCCATTGAGCTTATTGGTAAAGTTACACTACATAACTCGTCAACTTATTTAATGTGAGTAGATAGCGTATTTCTTATTGTGGATCTCTGCTTGTACGTTTACAAACCATGGTCAATAGCAAAGGAGTCAAATTAAATGTGCCATGGATGTATGGTCATAAAGCAAAGAAGTTTTTATCTGTGTCTGGTCCTCAATAGGAGTATCAAACGTTTGTAACACGGCGGGAAATTTTGAAGGTGAAACGGAATAATAACGAAATCTGAAATTATTGATTAGTCGACTGACATAACTTTTGGAATTTGTAGTTGATTTTTTTTTATTTTGCACCCTATACCTATACTTCATTGGTTGTTTTTATGTGAACAATATAATGTTTTGGAAAATAAAAATGACGTAGAATAAATCCAAAAAATCATTGTTACCAAACGCAAAAACTGCAACATCCTTCTCGACGCTTGTTTCTTCAACCGAATTGGCGTCTTCCGGAGATCGAGAAGATTGTCTACATCATGTCCTGGAGTTGACAACTTGGTTGGGAAAAGCGATATGGTTTTGGAAGAAAAGTCATTTACAAGTACAGCTTGGAAATATATAACTGCAAGTCGCAATTCACTCCGTTTTATTGTGATGATGGAGGATTAGGTTCAGTGAACTTCTGAACCACAAAAAATCTTTGAAACAATAAATTTCCAAGGTATATTTCTATGTCATAAAAATGGGGAGTAGAGGTAAGAAATACACTCTCACATAGATGTTCCTTTCGTTCTACCTAGAACTATGTAATATTTCAAAGAAATCTAACATCAATAAAAAATTGTATTTTGTAACACCCCTGTCATGTGAATTTAATATTTTGTCAGGATAAATATTGCTATAGATGTCGCATATTACAAAAATTGTAAGAGAAATGTTACAATTGTAATATTCAGGACAACACTGGTCGGATTACGACCGTTCGAGTTCGACCTGACTACACACTCTAGGTTTGTTTTGGTTCTCAGCAAAGAGTACTCTTTGGTTCTCAGTTCGTTACAGTTTGATCATACGCAGTTATTAAAATGCGTTTTGGTTCATTTAGATCATTTCTGGGATATGTTTTTCTTCGAGTTCGACCGTTCGAGTTCGACCTGACTACACACTCTAGGTTTGTTTTGGTTCTCAGCAAAGAGTACTCTTTGGTTCTCAGTTCGTTACAGTTTGATCATACGCAGTTATTAAAATGTGTTTTGGTTCATTTAGATCATTTCTGGGATATGTTTTTCTCCCAATTGATTCAAAATTATTCCATAACGGTAATCGAATACTGGATCAGGGACTGGGTTAGAACTTCTAGTTCGCACATGCGCATGTCTATGTTTAATGTTTATCCTCTGGTAGAAGTCCATTATATCTCGAAGTGGAGTGCAGTAGATTTGCGAAGAATAAAAACTCAAAGTCGTCTCCACAATTTAATATCACCATCAGATGTTAGAACGGTAAAACCATCAATCAGTACATGTTTCGAACGTATATAGGTTCATCAGCTAATTATTTAAAATTCTACAATAAAAGAAGAACAACATAACAATAGTTAATACAATGAAGTTTAAAATACTTACATGGAGTAGAAAATATTTTATGGAGAAAAGAAAATTGTCACATGTTAAAAGTGAAACAAAATGGTCAGTATGACATGAAAAAATATTTTTAAGGTAGTGAAAAACGGAGAAATTTATAACATCATATTTCTCAATAATTGAACTATAGGCAGCTTGAAGCCTTTATACACACCCATTAACATCAAAATCATCAAACGGTACATGAAAACGACTTATAAAGAAATTATCCGAAATGAATGAAACAGAATCAACTGTCAAAATATATATAAAGAGATAAAAATCCTCAGAGTTTACTCTCAGAGTAATAAAAAATTAGTAGAGATGCCCTTCGTATATAAACACAACAGATTTGTAGACAACCAGGACAAGGATATCCATCTCTCTCAGACTAAAATGTTGACAAAGGGACTGACGGAATTGTTTACATAATCCTCTGGACTGGATCCAAGGACGTGCGGAAAATATATTAAGAAAATTCTAATGACTATCAACTATTAATTCGATCGAAAATTCTGAGTTACGCCCATGCTCCATTAGTTGTTTACCTGTGAAATATTACATCAACATGCGACGATTGCGAAAATCCACAAACAACGCAGGTTTTCACCATCTTCAAAATTACTTTTTGCACTACAAATTGATTATATCGGTCAATAAGCACTCAAATCACCAAAATAACTTTCAAAAACGACGAAATACCGGTATTATCTATTTCTGTTAGTCGGAGGACTGTCGTAAATATAAATAAAGTAATTTGGCTTCAGAAACAAGAACAGAAAGGCATCTCTATGTATATCATTACTCTTCTGAGAGTATACTCTGCCGCTGTACGTTTCTATCTTGTACTATATAATCAATTGCGATTTGTATCGTTTGACGTTATGATGGAGTAAATTTCTGTGCATTACGATTTCTATCTTGTACATTATGATGCATTAGGTGCATTAGCACAGATTAAATTTAATCTGTGCTCTGAGATGAAAATCGAGATGACATGGAACAATCACTAGAGATCAGCAAACACAGAACACAACAGGAGAAAGAAACCCGCATACATATCGATTGGTGTTCTGAGCAAACAGATTCCATACGTATAGATGGGTGCAATCTTATTACAAAAATGTTTTGTGGAACCCCTTCCTTAATCTTCCACAAACCCTTATTTTAACACTCAGAACACCAGTCGATATGTATGCGGTAAGTTGACTTGTGTGTCACACCAATAGGCGGTTCCACTTATGCCTCACTTTCGTTTACGCAGTTATTTTTATCAAGTACTTTTCTTGGTTAATTTGTCTTCAATCGAGGACTGGACTGCCTGTCTGGTACTGACGATATATAATAAAAAGAGGTGAATTACCGGACATAACACTCAAAAATGGAGCAAAACCGTACCACCACTAATTCACCTCTTTATGATTTATATCAAATACACTTGTTAACATCATTCAGTATATACAGGGTACTGCGCGATGCCCGTCGGTTAGCCGTATTCAGGGAAAAAATGGGATTCATATAGGTTTTATAATATGCTCCATCGAATGAAAATAATGGCGTTTTTCCAACACTTTCGGTTATACCGGAAGATGGTACCAACTTCCTTAATTCAAATATAATACCGTATGATTGTATGTATGTATCGTATGTATGTAAAATAACTAGATATTCAAAAGTTTGATAGAAAACAAACTATTATTCATCAAAATACTTCATTCCATCGTCTTGTAGGATTAACATTTACAAAATGTTATGTAAGGTGTTCAGAATCGATGACTCACTTTTTCTTTCAAATGGAACAGTCTGTGTTTTAGGATATCTTCGAAATTTCGAAATGTTTTTGACTCATTTTCATAAAACAATCCCTATATAAAAAACTAACCGTTCAAGAGATATTTAATTTTTCTTGAAAATATAGAACATGCACATATCCACCATAAAACTACGGGCTACGAAACATTCATTCCGAACAAATTATGTCTTCATTGAAGACATAATTTGAGATGAATCAATAATTAATTAAAAAAAGCATTCTTTAACTTCCAGACATTTACAGCACGACTGATTTCAGCGGCATCTAGGACGTTGAATGCTTCTAAAAATGTTCTAAACATATTCTCCTTTCTTGTTCCAAGATCTGTACATACAATATTTCAAATATATCCCCATACAAAATAGTTCATATGAGACATATCGGGCGAACGTGATAGCCAAAGGTACGGCCCATTATTGTCAATTTTATCATAAAATAATTGATCGGTCTCGCATATCGCTGGTACGAAATAATATTTTTTGTATCTTCAATTGATGAATCATTCACTGTAACTCTCACAAACATTTTGTAGTATGTTACAGTATCCTTCACCATTCAAATTTTCATCATAGATGTACAAACACACAAGCCTATTGTGATTGATAGCACAATAAACGTTAAAACTTCAACTTTCGTGAAAATACCTAAGGTGTGGATTTTCGTCAGCTTAAAATTGGATGTTATGATGATTAAGTAAACTTCGCTTCATCATTCGATCATTTTTTTTAGAAAATTTGGATCTTCCTGACTTTATCTTCATTATCCATTTGAGGCTTTCGTTTGGTTATTCATTTTTTGGCCATTTTACCGTATTGTGTTTCAGTTTGAGTTTTCCTGATACCTAATACTTTTCAACCTGTCTTATAAGAAGGGGGTTTTTCCTTGTTGTTGGAAGATTGCTCGCGTTCAGACTATTCCCAAAAAGGGCAAGAAAATTCGTCCAAATAACTATAGATCCGTCGCTTTGCTATCAGTGATATCAAAAATCATGGAGAAAGTCGTATATCACATATTGTAACGAATTCAATTATTAACTGTCCTAAACAAAGTTATTTTTAACAATATTTCACTATTAGGTACAACTAATTTATATTCAACACTTAGCAACTAACGCTTAATTTATCTTCACTGTTTGAATTCTTTGTTTAAGCGCTCGATTCGCTTTCTGAATACAGACTCCCTCTCTGAACGGAAAGCCGGCCTTTTATATCGGTAACGATCGTTCTAGATTTCTCTAGTGGTCTCTGTTTTCGCCTAGTATTTTCCCGGCGAGTCGGACCGCATTCTGTCGTGGTGATGTCATGTGTTTATTCTCTGGCTGAGATATCATTCAGGGCCGGCTTCAGATTCGTTACATTGCCCCCTTCTTAAAGACGTTTCGTTCCGAAATGTCATCCTTGGCGTGTGTCGATACCTGCAGGACTCCCCATACCTGCATTGTGAAGTTCGATGGAAGTAACACTCCACAGTCTTTATGCTTGGTCGTGGAAAATGGTTACCACACACCAAAATCTTGATGCCGTTGGATCTGAAGATCGTTTCCAACATGCTTCTCACAATTCTCCAGCCCAGCTTGTCGAGCCAAGAGGCTAATTTCGGGATTGCCAAGTCCACGAGATTCTGGTCGAGCATCATGTTCTTCAGTCTAGTAAGACTCCTCCAGACACCCTCATAGGACGGTTTGTCTCGAGAATGCTTTTTGGTCACCAAGTAGAAAATGTTTCTCCAACCCTTCTTCAACTGTAGCACTCCTCCGACTTCAGGATTCTGTTCTTGTAATGTTTGGAGCTGACCGAATTTCTTGTTGAATACCACAGCGATATCCTTGGATATTTGGAGATCCTCTGCCACGCAGTGAGCTAGTGCGTAATCAACTGGAACCTTGAAAAAGTATCGTGGCTCTTCTTCGACCTTCTGTTCGTTCGAGTATAAGAACATGAATTGCTGGAACGTCATTTCATCCTCTGGTGGTCTGAGGGCGCGAACTTGGTCGTGATTTCCAGCTTAAGGAGCCAATCTATTAAAATGGACGACCCTAGCTTTTCCTCGAGGTGGCTTATGGATTCGGTAGACAAGGTCATTAATCTTTTTCATGATTTTGTACAGACCTTCCGCAACTTCTGTGATAAACCACGGCGTCGCTTAGGGTTGTACAGCCAAACTAGGTCACCGGTTTCGAATCCTTCAGCATTCGCATTGATGTCATAGTCCTTCTTCATCATATCGCTGGCACTCTGGATGTTTAGACGGACTCGTTCATGGATGTCGTCCATTCTCTGCCGAAGCTTGCTGACATAGTCTTTTCCCGCAGTCTCATGTTCTGGCGGCGTCCCACATTTCAGATCGCAAGGAAGCCGCAGCTTTCGGCCCATTATAATACTGGCAGGGGTTTGGCCGGTTGACTCGTGCACTACCGAACGATAGGCCAACAGGAACAGGTGGAGGTACTGGTCTCAGTCTCTTTGATGGTCAGAGACTACCTTGGACAAGTGGCGGTTTATGGTCTTATTCATTCGTTCTACCATTCCATCGGACTGTGGATGTAAGGCTGTGGTTCTGGTATTTCGAATGTCCAACAGTTTACATATTTCTTGGAACAGGTTTGATTCGAAATTTCTGTCCTGGTCCGAATGCAGCTCCAATGGGACACCGAATCGACATATCCATTCCTTTACCAGGACGTCAGCGACGGTAAAGGCTTCCTGGTTGGGCAGGGCATAGGCTTCTGCCCACTTGCTGAAGTAGTCCATGGCTATTAGGATGTATTTGTTCCCATGGTCAGACTCTGGGAACGGGCCGGCGATGTCGATGGCGATTCTCTCAAAAGAACTACCCACGTTATACTGGCGCATTGGAGCTTTCGGTAGTATCCGAGGTCCGTTACTGGCAGCGCATACAGCACACTTTCTGCACCAGTCCTTGACGTCGGCTTGACAATTAACCCAGTAAAACCGTTGTCTTACTTTCTGGAGGGTCTTCGTTACTCCCAGATGTCCTTCAGTGACTCCATCATGGATTTCTTTGAGCACCTCATGTCGTCTACTCCTGGGTACCACTGTCTGGCATCTTTCTTCTCCATCGTCTTCAGACTCCAACACCTACTTCAGAATCCCGTTTTCCATGGTAAGGGAGTTCTATTTGGCCCAGTAGGACTTAACCGCTGGCGAATAACCTGCTAGCTCTTGCCACGATGGTCTTTGATTATTTTTTTTCCATCCGATGACTAAACCAAGACCTGGGTCTTTCTCTTGGTCTTCCTTGATGTTATTGTCCTTCCAGTTGTCTATAGCTGAAGTTTAATAAATAGCTGCTTCCTTCTCTTCTGCTCATCGGTAATGTGAGCAGCCATCGGGATATGATCTCCGTGACAAGGCATCTGCGTTTTTTACGGGGGCTTGCTGGATACAGGATGACGATTGCCCCTTCTCATGGAACCTCTCTAGTTTTCTTGATTTGGTATTGGTTCTTTGAATGCTTGGACATTTGCTACGCATCTTGTTTTCTCTCAGACAAAACTCCTTTTATCACCTTTCTAATGGTGGCCTCAATGTCAACAGAACCCTGTCCATCTTCCTCCATAGTTTAAACTTTGCTCTGGCCCTTACAGGATTGTTTCACAGCCTCAAACTCCAGAGCTCTTGCCAGTGCATCCACGAGATGTTTGGGACGAGCTAGCGTCAAGGCCTGCCTCGTTTGTTGGTCGCGAACGGACGCGACGGACTGTGGCCGCTCATCGTTTTTGAGGTTCAACTCAGTACACCTTGAACTTCACTGTTTGAGAACTCTTCCATCTGGAGAACTGCGTTTATGTGGATTAAACTTCCTGAGAAGGTTTTTCCAAATCCAATGTGAATCGCTATTTATTCCGCACAGGTAACGCTCTGAGAGCGCCTTAAGGATTTTTCCGTAATGCTGGTGTTATGTCCTTAAAAAAAAATAACGTGCATGGCCGGTCGATAATTCGATTACATTCACTATTGATCATAATCAAATTAAAAAAAATCTTCGTTCGTATAACTTAAACGGGACATTTTGTTCAATAATTCATAAAATACACTCATACAAATAACAACATAGGTAAATCAACAACTACCTTCATCTGTTTCCATAGCATTTCTATTATATTAAACGATAAAGTACTCATAAACGATAAATAGGAAATTTTCAATACCCTAGATGTCGATGAAAATAGTCGTGCTGTAAATAACAATTCAATAAATAATGAATAATAGTGAATATCAGAATGCCTGGAAGTTACCATAACATATAAATAGTTTTTATATTTTGTGTGAAAATACATTGCAACATTTTTAAATTTTCCTCTTTCATGAACCATTTAGAATAAAAATTTTTAATTCATTATTTATTCATCTGAAATCCTGTGTTCAATAAAAACTATGACGGCAAATTTATAGCTCAAATAAACTGTTTGAAATGACTATTTCGTAGCCCGTAGTTTTATAGTGGACATGCACATGTTTTATTTTTTTCAAGAAAAACTTATATATCTCTTGAACGGTTGATTTTTGATTTAGGGAATGTTTCATGGCAATGCATCAAAATCATCTCGGAATTTCAAAACTATCCTAAAATACAGGGTGTTTCAATTGAAAAAACTGAGAATTGGCTCTTTTTCATATCTTCAGAATTAGTCATTGATTCCGAACACTTTGTATAACATTTTGGAAATGTTACTCCTACAAGACGATGGAATGAAGTATTTTTTATGAATCAGTAACAGCTTATTTACGTATTCTATCAAACTTTCGAGTTTTATGTTGAAATCATTCGAGAGCCCAATACCTAGTCTTTTTTGAGTAAACAAATGAACGGCTCATTAGATCGTTGTTAAATATTGAGGAACACCCATTCATTCCATATTTTCTTACCTTTATATATACCTTTGTATTATACTTTTGTATATACATAGATATATAAAGGTTAGACAATAGCTAGTGCGATTTATTCAGATATTTATATTTTATGATTGATGAAGAGTAAGGGTTCGATAATTTTAGTTTTCTAATAGGGACAGCTATAACTTTGTATTACACTATCTTTGTATGTAGACTAACCTACATACAAATATATTATATTTCTGCCATTGTCTAAGGCAATGTTTCTGCATAGTAAATTCTTAATTTTATTCTAAAGATCCCGTTAAATATTACTCGTTGCATTTACAAAGCTCTTTCATTTATATAATTGTATTTCCAAGCAAATTTTTGGGTGTCACCAATAGATGTCACAACTATTACAACCTTCCGTATTTCAGCAAAATCTAAAACTCCATAAATTTATTTTAAGTTTGTTGTAATGACGAAACCTTACTGAGAAATATGATTGCCAAATTCACATCAATCAACATTTTTTTTGATTTCTATCAAGTACGGGAGTATACCTGAATAAATAAAAAATAACAAAAAACTGCAAAAACGTCAGACCTCATTCTGACGTTTTAGCCGTTTTTATTGCTTATTTGTGGAAGGTTTGGCCGATCCATCAAATTTTGTGATATTCTGAAATTTTTACCAGCCCTTTCACCTACATTGAATTAAGTAGGCATACGCGACTACAGGAAATGGCTACTTTTCAAATTCATCAAGATAACGAAGAAAATCTCCATCATGTTGCAACTAAAAAGTTTTCAACAACAGCAGCCAACGTTGGAATCAAACATGGACAGAAAAAAATTTTTATGGACAATAGAGAAAAGCTGCAAGTACTGGAAAATGGCGTACGAATTAATGCCAAAAAAGCAAAATTAACTGAGACCAAAAATGAAATAGAAAACCATAACCAGGTAAAATTGATAATTTACTAGTTTTACAGTTGTTATTGTTTGTCAAGAGATATCGTATTTATGCTGATTTACAAAGTGGGCGAGAAGTAGGTATGATGGTATATTTCAAATGATTTTCATCAGCCTTTCCATTGAAATGGCTCACCTTTGTCATTATCAAAACAGACAGTCGACTGGAGACCAATCAATATTACAGGCTGGTCAACAAAGATGTGATTTATGGAAAATTTAAGAAAAATTGTGAACGGTTCGCATCCACAGTCAAGTGGAGAGTATATTTATTCAAACGAGACTGTCTTTTCAGAAAAATAATAACAATAGCAATATACAAAATGAGCAAATGATTATAAAACCATCAATTTATATACTTGCTATAATATTTTATAATACCTTGATTAAAAAAACACTCATATTTTGAAACTTTGAAAAATTTTAAAAAATGTAGAGAACTTCATCAAGAACTGAAAAAATGAAAAAATTCATCGAGATGAATCACCATTAGAGCAGAATGAATTCATTCCTTGCTCTGTTCCGAGTATACAGCGTTTTCTGTTTCCAATATTGTTATCTTGAATCAGTTTTAACGTTTTCCAACGAATCACAAATTTATCAGTTGATTTTATTTGTTTCGGGAATAAAACCTTACATAAATCAACAACGCTGCTTATCAGAATCAAAGTTAACGCTCTTTATTTTGTCCACGTTGCAGCTCGATATTTTATAATTTGTGAATAGACATTTTCTTTCATGGCCAGCCGGTCCCCCCACCAACATATCTGAAAACATTTGAAAGGTCCACAGGAGGGGGGTAAATAAGCTTTTTTTAATTATATCACATTAGATTTCAGCCAGAAAAATACTTTGAAAAAATATTGTACTGTATGGGAATATACCGAGCGGTTTAGAAGTTATACTAAAAGCACGTCCCTATTTCCAAACAAAAATGTAGTTTTTTCATCACCGACTAATACTTTGGCCACACTATTTTTTTCTCTAATACTGTGTGAATCGAAACTTCAAAATTATTTTTTTTGATATTTTAACACTATATTTTTCTTTCGAAATGTGATTTTTTCTCCAAAGGGGGTATATTAATCGAAAGTTGTAATAAAAATATTTTTGAAATACTTATACTCAACTTCTTCTACACAAACTATCAGAGTGAACCTTGAGTGACAAATTGAAATATTTCAACATGAATACTGTTATTGCACAGAAAAAATTCTTGAAATTATTGAAAATCAAAATAAATATAATCTTCAAAAAAGTTTACATCGTCAATGTTTCCTATGGAATCACAATGCGGAATCTATAGAATAACATAACGTTTCCCTAAAAAATAAAAAACATCGGTTGTGCTTTAGACCACACGACTGAGATTTTTGCAAGAAAACAAATTGCCAGATTTTCTTTTTTGCTATACCGTCTCTATTTTCAATAATATCAAAAAATGACGAGGAAACTTTTTGCTTCATTTCATGTTTTTCATAATCTGGTTCGACCCATGTTTCAATGCGACGTTTTGTTCATTGAAATCCATCATCCATTTTTTTAACGAACCTGTATATTTTTTAATACAATTTGGGAGTCATTGCAATTACGAATTCAATGAAATATTACAACAAATGTATTTTTCGACGTTTCTTCCATCACAATTCCAGCATTTCCATCTTTCAATTCCTCAATATTTTCAAAGTTTGTTCTGAATACTTTATCTTTTATGAAGGCCCACAACGAGAAATATAAATGGGAAAGGTCTGGTGAATGTGGTGGCCATTCAATAGGACCACTAGATATTTCCTATCCATCTTTCTGGCATAGTTGTATTGACGAAATCTTTACACATTTTCCTGCGATGTGGTGTTGGAATTACTCACTTATTAGGTTGCGTGGAATATCTAGAAACTCAATTAGAGTCCTTGATAAGAAGTCCAAGTATAATTCTCTGATCAGAAATGTTTCAAAAAAGTGGGGACCAATAATTTTATTATCAAGAACACCAAGCCATACATATCGAGTGGTCCAACGAAAAGTATGCACCTTGCTTTTCTCCTTTTTTCGTAACTTAACGCAAAAATGCTCGGACAGGTCAATTTTGCTTTTGAGGGGGACACATTTTAGATGTATTTTTCTACCTGTGCCTTCAACCCCCTAGCGAAGGTGAGTAACAACCCTAAAATGCGGAAAAAACGGCATTTTTATCACTACTACATTCCTCAATTTCTCTCGTGCGTTTTTTGGTTCAAATAACAACAGCAGATAAGTGTACAAAAAGAATTTAGGCAAACGTTCATTGATTCAGTTCGTTTGCTATTGAAATTATTTCAACTTTACTGTAAAAATGGTTTATTCCATTTCTGAACAACATAATAGTTGTGCTAGACTTACTGCTCGCCTCTTTAATAACAGTCATCCCGGGAAAAATGTGAATGATTCGTACGTTGCCAAGTTAGTCCAAAAGTTTGTCGATACCGGATCTGTCTGTAATGTGAAACACCAGCCACGGAAACCGATCAGAAATGAAGCAGTGGAAGTCGCTGTTTTGGGACATGTTGAATTGGATCATACTCAAAGTACCCGTCAGCTTGCTGCAGCCTCAGGTGTCTCCCGTTCGTCCATAATACGGATATTAAAATCCTATAAATTTCATCCGTACAAAATTAAATTAGTACAGGAACTCAATGAAGATGATCCTGATAGAAGGCTGCAATTTTGTGAACAACTGAGCCAGCTACTAATTGATGATCCACACCTATCATTCAACACGTGCTTTTCCGATGAGAGTACATTTTTTTTGAATGGAGCTGTGAATAGGCATAATTGCCGTTACTGGGATGATAGTAACCCACACTTATTCTGAGAGGTCCATACCCAGTACCCTGAAAAAATCAATGTCTGGTGTGGCATATTAGGTAGTCATATCGTGGGCCACTTTTTATTCCTGGGAATTTGACTGGTGAGGTCTACCTGAACATGCTTGAAGATACAATTGGTCCTCTCATAACAGAAATAATTGAAAATGACCAAAATCATAATGATGATCGGCTTCATTCCCAGCAAGATGGAGCACCTCCTTACTATGTTGCTCCGGTAAGAGAGTTTTTAGATGACCGGTTTCCTGGACGGTGGATTGGAAGGAGAGACCTCATCGAATGGCCTGCCAGGTCACCTGATTTATCGCCTTTAGACTTTTTCCTTTGGGGACACTTGAAAAATAAATGTTTTGCTACGCAGCCCGAGTCCATAGAAGATCTTCGCAAATGAATTACAGCAGAGTGCAGAAGTATAACACCTGATATGCTACAGAATGTTAGGAATAGATTTGAACAAAATCTGTATTATTGTATGGAAGCGAATGGGTCACATTTTTAGCACTTGCTGAAGTAGGATTCTACTAAGTCAATTTCACATTTCAAAGTACTGGGTTGTAGTTGTTTTTCTTCATAATACCTACATGTTTGAGTGAAATACAACAAATTAGATATCATTCGAAAGATAATTTTGTGCCCTTTCAAATGATGTATCACTCGAGCCCACTTTCGATTTAAAATTTTAGGGCTGTTACTCACCCTCGCTAGGGGGTTGAAGGCACAGATAGAAAAATACATTTCAAATGTGACCCCCTCAAAAGCAAAATTGACCTGTCCGAGCATTTTTGCGTTAAGTTACAAAAAAAGGAGAAAAGCAAAGTGTATACTTTTCGTTGGACCACTCTGTATGTTGTAATATATCAATGAATTTGTAATTACAATGACTATCAAGGCCATGCCAAAATTTTTGTTTTGGGGGGGGGGGCGTCTAAATGAAAAAGACTTCCTAATTCAAATTTAACTAATTACCATTACATTGGCACGGGAAAAGCCCTCAACCGAAGAAACTGTACTAACATATTCGTTTTTAAAATTAAAAACCTCAAATTTCCAGCGAATTCACAATACAAAATCAATCCTTCGAGACTTTTTATAGGCAAATTCTGTTATAACATCATCAGTTGGGATGATGACATCTCTGTGAATTGCTATTAGGGCCAACCCGGTTAGCCTCTCTTGCCCACAAGACTTCCGTAGGTAGGTTTTTAGGTTTTTAGTGTGGAAAATGACCTTTCCGGGGTGCACGTGGTTACTGGTAGAGTCGACAAGATGTTCAACAACATATACATGTTGGGATACAAATGTGTGTTGCATTCTCCGACAGTCTCAATGGCGCAAGAAGGCGGGCTTTTGCCCTGCAACAACAATTTCCATAGGTGAAATTCACCTTGTGCTTCGTCTAGTTCCACCAGGTCTTCGTACATCACTAGGTCCTCTCTTGGGAATGGCGTTTCCTTCTCGGAACAGACTGTTGGTATAAGAGTGTACCTAGCAGCATTCATTTTCTTGTGGTCAGTAAATCTTATTTTGAGCTGGGAAGTAAGTCTTCTAGTGAGTATTGCAACAGTTGTTGAAGGAAGCTTGTTCGCATTGGAGATACTCTTAAAAAAATTCCGATTTCACAGTTCCTATACAAAAAGACGAATGACGGCACAATGAGAAGACAGAATAGACAGTAGTAAAAATACTGAAAAGATCAAGGGTGGTCCAGATCCCCCGGACTCTTTCCCTGGGAACGGCTATGTTGACTACCGAATGTATAGAAAATATACCAACAGGTCCGTATTTAAAAAAATATATTGATGATGGATTTTGATGAACAAAAAATCACATTGGAAAATAGGTTGAACTAGATCATGGAAAACATGAAATGAAGTTCCTATGTAATTTTTTGATATAATTGAAAATTGAGGCGGTCAAGCTGCTGGAAAATAATTCCATGAAAATCAAAAAATGAATAGATAAGTACTTTTTGATCATTCCCATATTGATTTCAATTTAGGAGCCACCGGTAGACAGTTGTTTCAGCATATTGGGCATCGTCAGTACCGGGCAGGCGGTCCTCGATTGAAGACAAAATGAGAAAAACCAAGAAAGTACTTGATAAAAATAGCTGCGTAAACGCAAGTGAAACATAAATGGAACCACCTATTGGTGTGACACCTAAGTCAACTTGCCAAGTTTTTATGTCAGTGTTGGTGGTTTGACCAATCAACCGACAACTGCGGTAGCAGAAATTTGGGAAGCTAACCTGAAATGCCATCGGAAAACGAATCCTCATGTTTCTAGAAATGATATGAAATCTGGAAAGGTTGATGCAGTCAAGCTGCTGCAAAATAATTCCATGAAAATCAAAAAATAAATAGATAAGTACTTTTTGTACTTATCGGTGCGCACCTGATCGCACCTCTCTCTCTTACCCCTACATAATATATACGAAACGTAACTCTCTCTCTCTTTCTGTCTTCACTAACTTATACCTTCCTCTCAACTAGCTCCGTTCGCTTCGTTTGATCACACTTTTCGTAACGCTCTCGTCACGCATTCACCAGCTTACTCCCCAAGTCAAGTTGTTGTTTTTCCGTCGAGTATCTGCTACATGTACCTAAAAAGTCGTAGGTGCACATGAGAGGCAAGGATATGGTGTTTTCAACTAAACTTGAGCATGTCATATGCACCACTCTGGAAGATATTGAATTATCATATTCCCAAATTATCCTAAATTTTATGTTAATATACTGGTGGTTACTGATCGCCACTTGTAATTATATCACATCCAAATGGCTGTTTGGAATTAAATTTCTCAACATTTTCATACTCATAGATCACATTCCATATTTTTAGTCTTCTAGGAGTCTGTTGTAATGTATCAAACTCAACAATTTCAAACATTTTCAATTTCGTCTACCAAGTTCGACCACGTTTTTTTTGTCGCAGTCCTTTGCAGCTTCTTTTGGTAGATTCGAGACTCCTTCCTTTCAATTATTCTATCTTTCGAAAGATATATTGGTACATATGAAAGAGTCATAAACTTACGAGGCTTCGTCTTCGTCTTCTTGAAGTGTCGAGAATTTATGAAGAAGCTCTCTAAATTTTCGTTTTGTAATCAACTTTTTGGGTATGTCTGAAGAATACCTGATTATATGCATGTATTTCTTCCAGACTTTTTTTTTTGGTTACCTTTCTACAACACCTCAAAGCCATACCAGCCTGAAGGAAGTGAAGACATTAGCATATTATCTGTAGCAGATGACCGAAAAAGGATCCAACTATTGAAAACTTTTCAGTGAAAATAGTCCTGATTCTAATGCAACATTTGAATTGAAATATATATTTATTGTAAGGCCTCCGAGTTTTTCCAAAAGTGGCGTATCATATTTCGAAATCTGTTGTGCCGTGGACTAAACTGATAGGTCTCTGCAACTCCAGGTGTCTAAATAGAGACGAAGTTTTCAAAATGTTTCTCATCTGTATCCATCTTTATCTTTGGATAGTTCTGTATCATTCATAGCGCCTTCTCTGATCTCTCATTCAATAATTCATTCAGTAAAATCTAGAGACTAGATATCAAGGATGCACTTCGCTAATCACCAGGGTCTCGGGTGCAACCATTTCGATTCAACAACCACAAGTTTGCTGAGTCTGATGCAACGTGGTTTAAACAAAATAATAGTGATAATATGTAATCATGATTTGTAATTTCATTAACACTTTCTACTTGGCTTTTTGAAAAGTTTCAAATTGCATTTGATAAAACTGAATGCACTCTCTTTCAGAAATATTTAAATCAATTTCTTTTCAGAAAGATTCGAAACAGCTTGTGGAAACAACCTTTTTGAAAATCGAAAAGGAGAACAGGGTAGCATCCTTCAAAAAGGAGAAAGATTATTTTCCAAGATCACTATCACAGTGCGATGAATATAAGCAGGTAGGTAATTGAATAATTTACAAATTTCAATTGACAATTTAGGATAGCATTAATTGAACTATGTTTTTCGATTGGAATATTATGGGGTGGATAAAATGACGTAATGGGGTAAAAGCGGTCGTTTTATGCATTTGAAGGTTATAATGAATTTATTTTCGAATAACGCATAACATTCATGGAAAATCCACACATAGGTCGACTTCTGAATTTAATTTATTACGTTATTTGGTCCGGGGAAGTTTGCTTCCCTGATGGTGAAGATTTTGCTTCGGCTGGTCAAGAATTTGATGCAACGCAGATTCATGAATTATCCTGTACGTGAGAATGATATTACTAGCTTTCTGGCTGCATCACCTGGCGTCCTAGGTTTGTTAACATTACATAGATCTATCCGATGAATTATTGTTTTCCATATTTGGATACAGAAATTACTGGAATGATATACCGTTGCAGCAACTCCAAATATTTTTCACCGGTCAGTTAATTTCCAATAAAAAAGTCCCAACTTCTCCAACCCAAATATCAACTGCTTGTGGAGATTGGGTATGTGATTCCATTTCCAATGAGGATTTATGGAAGCCCAATATTGGCGATACTGTCTATTCTACATACAGTGCATATCTTTAATGTCCCCTCCTTTTATTTTTTGAACAGGTCAACTCAAAAAGTTGAAATTTGGGATAATGAAATTAATGCATGAATACTTCATTTTGAAGTAAAATTGACAGATGAAACTTTCAAGATGGCAACTGGGCGCCACAACTCTAAAATATAATGTCAATATTACAACTACTACAAAATGGCGGAACTTTTAATAATTGCCTCAATATATTGACATTTAACAACATAATATGAGGTAATAAGCTTGAGGTCAGTTCAGAAGATGCTCGAAATGATTGCCTTGAACTTCTTGATATATGAACAACATATCCGATATTTCACGCCGACCATTTTCGAACACAGTAACGTCAATATTTCTACAAATATTTATTATTCTCTGCCGTATATCCAATAATGAAGCAGATTCAGTTTCGTACACCTTTTGCTTCAAATAGCCCCATAAAAAATGTCCAAAGGTGTCCAATCTGGCAAGCGGGTTGGCCATTCTGTAGGACCTCGACGGCCAATCCAACGGGAAAAGTAGTACCTATTCAAATAGTTTCTTACTTGTCTGAAGTTATGTGGTGGTGCTCCTTCTTGTTGGAATACAATATCCATATCGAATTCATTATACGATTCGCTTCGACGATTTCAGTGATGAGAGGGTCAACAGTAGTTTCCAGCATATTCAGATACAGTTCTCCTGTTAAATTCTGACCAATAAATAAAGGTCCAACAATATGATTTCCCAATATTTCTGCCCAAACGTTAATTTTTTCTGGATATTGGGTATCTGTTTCTCGGAAAACGTGAGGGTTGGTGTCACTCCAATAACGGCAATTTTGTCTGTGAGCATTGCCGTTTAAAAAAATGTACATTCGTCACTAAAACAAATATTGTGGAGATAGGTAGGATGCCTTGCAATGGTTTCCGCCATGATTCCGCAGAATTCTGTTCCTTAGATCAGGGTCATCGTCAGTTAATTGGTGTACCATTTTAATTTTGTATGGATGACACCTATTCCTTTTCAAATGTCTCCACACAATAGAAGGAGACACCTCACAAACATTTGCAACGGAATAAGTAGACTGTTAAGGATTTACTACCATCTCACCAAGTATTTGCACTTGCTGTTCTTCCGGAATGAACGGATGACCTGAGGGCTTTTTGTTATGTACACTACCGGTATTTGAGATTTTGGATACAAGTTCCCTCAAATATTTTCTACAGATAGGACGATTCAGAAAACGTTCATTGAAAATCCTTTCGGTCTCGTGATAGTTACGCGACACATCGTAAATGAAAATCACTTCAATTTTTTCTTCCAATGGACGAGGATTGACCATTTCAGAGATTGTTAGCGTGGTACCTTTCTACTAGTAAAACCGACCAAAAATGGCATGCCAAGTTCTATCAAATGTCAAGGTTTTGCTCACTGGTTTCTTGCACTACCGTGGCGTAGTGCATCAGGAGTTCTTGATACATGGTCGTTCGGTCAATAAGGAATATTATCTTGAAGTTATGCGTTATATATGAGGGGAACAAAATAAAAATTGATGAATAAATAACTATTTTCTGACAAAAATGAAAATTCACTTCATTTTTTGAAACCTCGTATATGAATTTCATTCAAACGGATATTTTTGAGCAAACTCAATAATTTTTTCTTTATATTGAGTAATTTGTCCACTTAATATTTTTTTGGAAAGTTATTTGATTTTGAGGAAAGTAAAACCTCAAAAAGTAAAAAATGAATCCTGATAGGTTTTTTGCCTTGTATAAATCGACCGTCGGTGTACATTTGAAATTATGTCAAATAAACATTATAACTAATATTAAGTATTCCAGGAAATTTGGCAGTATCTCCGTCATTTGGAGGAGAGGGGCCCTAATCCAAATCCTTCGTATATGGATAAACAAACTGACATCAACTGGAATTCCAGAACTATCCTCGTAGACTGGCTTGCAGGTGTATCTGAGGAGTATAAATTTTGTGACGAAACATTTCATTTGTGCGTAAACTACATTGATCGATTCTTGAGCCAAATTTCCGTTGTAAGTATGAAATATCGAGAATAATTATATGTAAAATAATAACAAATGCAATTTTCTACTAGATAACTTACGTTTTCCAATCGAAATTGAAATCAAAATTTTATTAAATTGATTTTTCAATTCACAAATGAATTTGATAACTGATATATCAAAAAGTTTACGTCTATTTAACACTTATATACATATACATATTCATTCCTATACATGAAAATGTAGAAAATAAAATAAAAGACCAACTCACGACTACCAAATCAAGATAATTGAGAAAAGTATCCTGAATACAGGGTGTTTCAAATTCGATCTTTACCATTGGGATTTTGGAAAATATGAGAGATACGAAGATAGTTAAATTGGGGTAAAGTTGCGCATTTACCTGACTAACAATATGCCGTTGAGAAAGTTCTGTAATTTCGAGTATATCGGGATTCAAATGATTCAAAAATAAATTGCACTTCCACATTGTCACTTTTTTCCTGCTACATAATGGTGATTTCAGATATGATATCAGACGTTTCGTCTTTCGGCCACCATCATCAACTTTAGTTTTTTTTATGGGCGCTACATTGGATTCTTCCTGTTTTGAATGGAATCAGATGTTACCTTTTCAATGATGTATCATTCTTTTTCGAAAAATTGGAGATATTGAAAAAAATTAATCCTCATCATAATAGGCTTTGACTTCGATATTTCTAAATTGAATTTTCAATTTGTTACACTCAATGACATTTTATTATTGTACAAGTCATTGAATTTTTGGCAAAAAATGGCTTTCACGAATGAAGAAAAAAGAGATATGATACAAATTTATTACAAATACAATATAAACAGTGTTAGGACATCGAGAATCTAATTGAACTTGTGTCCCGAAAGATGACAACCACATCGAACTGTGTTCAAGTTATTGGATCAAAATCTCACCGATTTTGGTTCGTTTGAAAAGCCAATAAAAATACGGAGACAGAATCAACAATCGAAATTTGATAAATGAGGTGTGTGAGGTGAATTAGATATTGTGTCCCTTTCAATGAAGATTGAACTTTGAACTAATAACAATAATTGACTGAAATGTAAAAACAAAAGTAAATCACAGCAAATGCTCAAAATGCTGGCCTCATTCATGATAAAACAACTGTATCCTTCTTCGAATAATATTCACTGCACGATTAATTTCCCTCCTCCTCAACCTTCCGAACTCTCTAACAATGCTGTGTTGAAGGTCCTCAATATTTTGATATTCTCTCTGACCATAAACTTTATTTTTCAGTGAACCCTATAAGAATGTATCCATAGCACTTAAGTCTTGAGACCTTGCTGGCCACCTCACCGGCACATTATTCCCTATACATTTATCACCAAAACTTTCAGTCAGGTAATTAGATACTCATCTGGTAGTGTGTGGTGGAGTACCATAATGTTGAAACCAGATGTTGTTATAGTTAGCCAAAGGAGGATCATCCAAATAGTCTTCAAAAATCGACATTGAAATGCTAAATCACACTTGAGGTCTAATTTGTCGGAACTTCCTGGGGTTGTTCATGCTCCAAATGTGTTCGTTATTTCGGCTGAAGATATCCTACAAATCGTAAAAGTGATTTCATCTGTCCAAATAACGTTTTCCAGGAAAACAGGAAAATCAATTCTGCTTATTAGCCAATTACAAAATTCTAATCGCCTTTCGGGATCACCTGGATGCAATTTCTGAAATATGTGTATTTTGTAAAATTTTAAACCTTTTTTTTGAGATGTCTCCATGCACTTGCATAACAAATATTTATTTCGGAGAAAATTTGACGCGTAGATTTTCCTGGGTTCATGTTTATCTGCAAATTATTAATTTTTATTTAAAAGGACACAATGTCTAACTTACCTGATACATACCTCATTTATCAAATTTTCTTTGGTTTCCTGGTCCATTCTGTTTTCGTATTTTTTCCTCGGATTTTCAAATGAACCAAACTCAGTGAGATTTTGATCCAATAACTTGAACATATTTCAATGTGGTTGTTGTCTTTCGGAATATAAGTTGAAATACATTTCCGATGTCCTAACACTGTTTCTATCGTATTCGTAATAAATTTGTATCATATCTCTTTTTTCTTCATTCTTGAAAGTCATTTTTCGCCAATAATTCAATGACTTGTACAATAACAAAATGTCATTGAGTGTAACAAATTGAAAGTCAAATTCAAAAACATCAAAGTCAAAGCCTATTATGATAAGAATTCTTTTTTTTCAATATCTCCAATTTTTCGAAAAAAAGCTTTCTTCAAAATATAACTTATGGTGTACCCCAAGGATCCATCCTTGGTCCTGTTTTTTCTCAATTAAATTAATTCACTAGCCAATTTGAAATTGAATAGTATGATTACTTGCTGATGATACTACTATTATATACTTCTTATAAACGGGAAAATAAAAAAATATATGAATTCTCATATGGCTTAATGAACATAAATTGAGGCTTGATTTCAATAAATGTTCATCTATGAATATTTCCCTGAGACTAATACGAATAATTCGATTATGTTCGATTAAAATTCTATTGAATATACAAGAACAACAACATTTTCAAGTGTATAGGTTCATGAGAAATTGTCATGGAATGAACATATTGAAAATATTAGAAAGAAAATATATCATCTTATTGGAATTTTTTAAAAAATTAGAAACTTTAAAACTTTAAAATTAAAAAAATATATACATTTCTGTCTCATTTATTCACTTTTGCACTATTCTATTTCTGTTTGGGGAACAGCAAGTAAATCTATACTCAAACTTCTGAAAATCTTACAAAACAAAATAATTAGAAGCATTTATAAATTACCATATTTGGAACCAATATTCAACTCAAATAAACCAAACTATTCATTGGACTTGAATTCACTCTATAAACTAAAAATTAGTTGCTTCATTTATTCTGTTGAAAATAATACAAAAAAAATCATACCTAAATTTATTCCAATTGGACATATTCACAATCATGTCACAAGACAAACCAAATTACCGTCAAAAATCAAGATACAAACAAATTTTGGAAAAAAGTCGATATATTACGATGGGATTATTTATATAATTCAATTCCAGGGAAAATAAAAAAGCATTATTCCAATACAAAATTTAAGTATCAATTGAAAAAAAAAACGAATTACTGGAATTTCATAGTTTGTATTTCATTTCTATTGAATTTTTCAACATATACTTTCTGTAACCAATTTCATTATTTCACTTAATTTCATAGTTTTTTTAAGATATGTGTTCATTGTAAAATATCTAATTTCTGTTATTTCATTATGCTTTGTAGTTAGTTATAGTCCCTAATTGAAGCATTAATTGTTTCTTGGGACAATTAACTGAATTGAATTGAATAAAAACTCTCTGCCGTCCTGTCTCTCCCACGGAGGAGGCTGTGCAAGGCTTTTCTGCCACTCTTCACACCCGTGTTCAAAAATCAACATCTGAAATTTAGTCAACCATAGATGTGACAAATTTCCACCCAGACTATGGTTGAGTGGGAAATATAATAACATTAGTTAACAGTATTCGAATCTGCTTCCGCTGTATAGGAGACTTGTAACGCCGTTTCTTGAACTTCCGATACTCGGAGTTTCCAGAAAATACCAGAAATTTGGAACCGCTATAAAAGTAGCAGGTTGACAATCGGATCATCAATATTGGTTTAACGCGGGTAGTGGTGAGTTAATATTAGGGAAGCGAGGTGTGCAAACACGCGAATATAAAGAGTATTATATTATTATTATATTTGTGAATAAAATAAGTTGACTCCTGTAAAGCAGTATGACATATTTGAACTCGATGTACGCAACAGTACAAAAATGTCCAAAGTACAGAAACGTGGCTGCGTTAATCCCGCAGATAGGTTTTATGTGGTCAGTTTACTCCTAAATTGCAGAAACGGCCAATTAATCAAATGATCAGAGTAGCTTACCATAAGTATTTTGGATGTGGTGTTGGTGATCAAGATCGGGATTGGGCTCCTCACGTATGTTGCCAAACCTGTGCAGCAAATCTAATTAACTGGTTGAATGGCAAACGCACTTCTATGCCTTTTGCAGTTCCAATGATTTGGCGAGAAACAACAGATCATTACAACGACTGTTACTTTTGCATGACAAACGTTTTTCAAGAAAGAGCAAACTCAAAATTGTATATCCGGATATTCCTTCTGCAAGAAGGCCGGCGGTTCTTTATGGAGAATTTTATCAGTTTCAACACCCCCCGGCAATTGTATGATAACCAGGCAGGTTCCTATGATGTGCCAGAAAAAGACGTTCCTTATTTTCCCAAGAGTGAAGGAAGATCACCCCATTTAATCGAACAACCTCAATTAAATAACCTAGTTCGGGACCTCCACTTGTCCAATGAGAATATTGAACTACATATTAGGGTCTAGATTACAATAATGCAATTTACTAGCCTCTAAAACGAAAGTTACAATATTTAGGAACGGTAACCATGAGCTATTTACGTTTTTTACTATGCAGGATAAAATGTGTGTTTGTGTAAATCCAAATGGTGTAATGGAAAAATTAGGATTTGTACATAACCCGAACGAATGGCGTTTATTTATAGATTCGTTTAAAATAAGTTTAAAAGCCGTTCTGCTCCATAATTCCGTATTCCGTATTACCGTTTATGTTTTATGTTCATGTAACTTGCAAATAACATAACCTGCAAAAATTGTTATAAAATAAATTATGTATTTGCTGGCGCAGAAAAAATTAGGAATTCTTTAAGTGAACCTAAAATATGAACATCTTTAATAACACAAATTTATTATTGCGGTGACCTACTTTTATACCTCCCAGTTCCATGTTGATTAGTTGATTAGTAAATAGAATAGAAATATAAAATACTGCAACCTTCTTTTACTCTTATTTGCTGATGATACCCTTGTATATACGGAAAACTGTCATTTAAAAGAAGCTGTACAAAATATCAATATATCTTTAAAGAACATTAAATTATATCTACAAGTGAATAAACTCAAATTGAATATCAATAAATCTAAGGCAATGATGGTTACAATAAATTCGAATCAAAGAAAGATTGATACTAACGACGTTAATATCAGCATATTCAATAATCAACTCACAATTGTAAATGAAATTAAGTATCTAGGATTCATTATAGACCATCGATTAAATTTGAATAAGCATGCCCAATATACCATTAGAAAGATATGTAAGAAAATGTATTTTTTCTCTAGAATTTCAAAATCTTTATCAACCTTTACTAGACTAACATGTTACAACTGTATAATGAGGCCACACTTTGACTACTGTGCCACACTGATGTATCTATTCAACCAAAATCAAATGGGACAGTTGCAGAAACTACAAAATCGAGGTATGTGAATCACTTTAAGATGCAACCAGTATACCCTATTGAATCTATGTTGAATACTCTACAATGGCAGCCGGTACATAAAAGACTGTATTATTTGAGCATGATTTTTATTTTCAAAATTTCAAGTGGGATATAACCAGCCTATCTTAGCAGATATTTAGTTCGGAATAGTGACATTCATTCATATAACACAAGAACATATAATACATTTTATATATCCTGAACAAACTATAAGAGTGGAATGAATTCATTGTTCTTTAAAGGTCTAGATAGTTTCAATAAGTTACCTGATGAAATAAAACATGTAAATTCCTTAAAAGTATTCAAAAAGTTATTATTAGACGCACTGTAAAATTATATACGTATATAAATTATTCATATATGCATAACTATATATTGTATATTAGGATTCCTAAAGTGAAGTCTACTACTACTGTCCAGAAATACACTTGATTAGATTTATTTTTAAAGGTTGAAATTCCATGCCAAACTTCAGTTGAACTATCAGCTGTTCCAATCAGAAATTTCAAATTAATCAGAAACCAATATCTACCAGACATGCGCGTTGACAACGATTTACAAACTGTTGGAAATCTGTTGGTGACTCAAGGTTGGAACGAACCTAATGAACTGAAAGCAAACTATATTTTTCCAATTCTTTTCGTCACATTTTCTGAGCTGATGCTCATTCTTATGAATAGTAAATCGAGGAAGTTGATTAAAAAAAGTTAGTCAGAATTTATATTATCCAAAAGCATGAGTAAGCGATTCAACTAGGTGATACACGTGCAGTTCGTGAGTGGTTATCTAACACACAATCTTTGTCATCTTCAAATAACCGATTAGGATATATTATATTTCTAATGCCGTATTTTAGATTTATTATCTCCAACAAATTTTGATTTTGAGATTTTTTCTCATTATTATAACTGTGAACTGGTCATATGAATGATAATTGTTATTTATGCAAAAAGTGCAACAAATATGTGTATATTGTACGAATTTATTCAATTCAAAAATTACTTGAAAACTTATATAATGAACTTGTGATGCACTGTTTGGAAGCTTTGGTGTAGTAATGAATATTACTGGAGTTTGATCTTCCTCTTGAAAATGATCACTTAGTGATCAAAACACGTGTCCAGGTGTTAAAATAACGGTTTAGTGTTGGAAAAAAACTCCAGTAATATTCATTATATAATGAATTTGATTCGAGAACACATTGTTTTTTCAATATTTTCTAGTCAGATTTCTGAATTAGGCATTTTTTTGTTTTCATTATGTCTCATTGATTGATATTCAGTTTTAGAAAGTTATGTTGTATGATAATATCTGTATTCTCAATATCAACTGTAAAGATATGAGGGTTCATTGAAATAATACATATTAATAAACATTATGAAAAACTGAACTTGCTTATATATCGAATATCATCTGTCATCTGAAAGAAAAACAGCTATGAAATTATTTAACTTTAATAATTTTCAATGCCATTTTTGTAGTTTTATTCATTTGAGGAGCATTTATAATAAATGATGGACCTATTTTGACTCCTGTATCAGTTATTTATTAAATAGTATAAATTCATAATGTACAAAATTGAACCGAAAGAATTTCAAAATATATCTTTCACATATTTTTCGTACTCCTGAAGTACTTTTACCAAAATATGAGTTTATGAGATAATATTTTGTCATTTGAAAAAATTACATTTTCAAAGGCTAGGAATAAATTCCAACTGGTTGGGGCAGCTGCAATGATGTTGGCCACCAAAATGGAAGAGTATCATCCGGTAGATTCGAAAGAGTGGTCGTACCTCACGGGAGACACATTCTCTTCAAAGCAAGTTCTCAAAATGGAGCAGCTTATTCTGAAAGTTTTGAAGTTTAGAATGCAGCTACCAACTATCCATGGTTTCATCCAACATCTCTCAACGGAACACAAAATGGATGAAAAAACAATACATCTGGCTATGGTGAGTTTCATTTAGTAATATAAGGTTATTTTAGTTGAAATGGTCTCGAAGAGCAAATAATGCAATAAACGAGTTCAAATTTGAATAAAGCATTTATCTAATTATAGAGAATCATAATTGACAAATTATGAAATAATAATACTTCAATATCATTAGATAATTATGAAGTTGTTTCAAAAGTTTTTAGGAGTCTACTTTAAACTGTAACATCTCAGAGAATAATAATTCAATTGGATGGAAGTAGGTGTCATTTGAATCAGTGTACTTTTGACAAAAAAACAGTCGATTAACCCCGTCAACATGAAAATTGTGTGCTAGGAATTTGATGAAGCCGACGAAGTCCGTTTTTGCCTTGTCCTGATTGGCGAAGGTTCTACCGATGAGAAAGTTATCAGAGTGCTTGAAAAGATGGAAGTCGGTTGGCGGGAGTTTAGGGGAGTATTGTATGTGAGGCAGAATTTTGACGCTCAATTGGTTTGATTTTCGGACGATGATTTGTGAAATGTATATACGGACAGATCAGGATCAGACTTCTTCTGTTGACCAGTGCCAGCTGCTGATCACATCACCCTACAGTAACTATGACCTTTTTTTTTGGGGTTTTTGCCTTTGAGAGAAGCCTGGGTGTCTCATCGGTGTCCAACCATCGTCCTGAACATCTCCTGTTGCCGTAGAGGATTCATTTTTCATAACACGTGACGATCCGATCCAAACAAGGATTGTTTTGGTTGCCCAAAAGCAAAGAACAGACCTTGTAGCTTGACAATTTCTGTCGATCGTTCAAACCGTGGGGCACCCACTTTCGAGCCTTTGGTATTTTCCTCTAAAACTGGTAGCTGATGCCTAGTTCTTCCGCCATCCCACTCACCATTTGTGATGGGTCAGTTTTCGCCAGGATCCTCAAATCCTCGTCCTGGATTACTGTATTTCGACCACTTCGGGGCTCATCATCGAAGCTAAAATCTCCGGAACGAAATTTCGCAAACCAACGCCGTAAGCCATTAATACTATCATTGCCAAATGTCTGGTTGATTTTTTCGGATTTTTCGGCAGCGCTTTCATTCAATTTGAATATGTCGCGAAAAATTGGCCGAAAATTGCTTAACAACATCATATAGTGATAAGCTGAGAATTAAAATTTGGAAAAAAATTAACAACATCAATGTATAGAGTACAAGTTCTCCAACGATTAGTGTATACACAGTAGAATGCATATTAATTGAGATATGGAGCTTCAAAAATACATGACATTAAAACGGACAAAACTTTTGAAACAACCTAATATTTTACTTGTTTACTATCAGTGTCGTGGACTGTCTTCGAAATTTCCACAACTTGAACAATAATAGCTAATAGTGTTAACGTATTCAAAATATATTTTATCGTGAGGTTTTCAATGAACAGTTTTACAAAAATCGCAACACATACAATGGCTTCTTCGAACACGACTTAAGAAGCCATTGTATGGCAAAACATATGTTGCGATTTTGTAAAACTATTTATCGAAAATCTCACAATAAAGTGTTTTTTGAATATGTTAGTTATGGATTTTCATCAAGTATCGGCCAATTCAATCAAATAGCTATCGTTACTCAATTTACACGGTTTATCTGAATCTGTTGGAATGAATTGATGGATGTACCCGTTACTACGTGGTAGGAAATCATAATGAAGAAAAGATAATTGAAACTTTCTATATTTCTTGCCACTTTTATTTGTAACTAACTTTATTGCAGTTTCGTTCTATAAGGGCATTTTCAAACTTATACAATATAATCTGTTACTTTTCCGGGGAAGTTCATTCTTCTCAAATTCACACACAATCCATCAACCCGTTATTTGATGGAAATCAATAACACCATTGATTATAAAAATTATACAGTTTTCACACTATAGTTTTTTAGGAGAGGTAATTTTTTGGGAAAGGTTTCGGCTTTCTACTTCTACATCTTTATATGTATAGCAGGGGAGCCCACGATGCAAAATGGGGATTTACTCGAGCGTCATTGAGACATATTAGGTTGCAAAGCGTAGATGATAAGAAGAAAAAAATGTTATAGAATATACACCTTTTCATCGGTGGGGGAAGCGGCTATAGATTTTTAAATATGGAAAAAAATACTGTTGCATGGACATACTCAAGCGCGTCAGATATTGATAGCATCAATGTCCGACGTATTTTTGATAATGTTGGTATGTTAATTTGATCGTTTGCATGATGTGGGTGGATGTAAGTAAGGGTTAAAAGTGAAAAGAAAAAAAATTTTATCGAGCGCGTCAGATTTTCTAAGGGGGTGTTGAGAGCAACAAAAAAAGCTCTCGTTCAATAATCTGACGATTTCGATCTGACGCAAACTCGTGGCCATTATTATAATGTGCAAAAAAAATTCGCCATTTTGAAATACTCAAGTGCGTCAGATTAAGATATATACGGTTCATCTCCATGTTTTGGACGTGCTGTCTCATAATCTGACGATTATCTAGAGGGATTCGCTTAATCTGACAAAAATAATATTTTTTTTGAGTTTTTTTCAATTCATGGAACCTAATTAATTGGAAAGCTCAGGAAATAGCATGCAAATAAATAATTGTATGTTTTTTAAGTAGAATAGTTGTATTTATAAGAAAATAATTTTCAAAAAATGCTCAAAAAAATTTAATTTTTCATGATCAATTGATTAATTATTGAAGAAAAGAGAAATGAAACTTTCTATGTTTTTTATCACTTTCATTTGTTACTAACGTTACTGCAGTTTCGTCGTATAAGGACATTTTCAAACTTATATATTGTGTAAGTTTGAAAATGTCCTTATATATTGTATAAGTTTGAAAATGTCCTTATAGGACGAAACTGCAGTAACGTTAGTTACGAATAAAAGTGGTAAAAAACATAGAAAATTCAATTTCTCTTTTCTTCATTATGATTTCCTACCACGTAGTAACGGCTACATCCATCAATTAATTGAATAATTATTCATCATCTTCATCTTCATCACGAACGAGTCTCTGTGATCAGCTGTGATGGCGTCATGGCAATAGAATTCAGAGTGGGGACGGAGTGAGAGAGTAATAGATAGAGAGAAAGTGAATAAAGAATAGAGGAATAGAAACTCGTAGAGGAAAATATAGGTATCATACATCTGCACGCATTATACTTTATCGACGAATTTCTGTTATTTCGGCTTGCGGAAATCGTCAGATTATATATTTTTCGTTATGTTTGAATTATTTCCTTCAAAATAAAAAAAATTAGCCACGCTGACGTTATTTTTTCACAACTTTACTGCCCTCCCCTTTCTTTACGTCACTCTCAAATTGTCAGATTACTGGAATATACACTTTTCAGCAGGTAATTAACTCACCCTACCTTAATCTGACGCGCTCGAGAATTTCTGATGATCAATTTTTTTTTACTAATCTGATCCTTTATCCCTCACAAGCGGCCTCATTTATGAGGCTCATATTTGGTGCAGGTACTTAACCGGGTACAAGGTATCCCCCTGTATATTAATCTGCCACGCTTTAATAAATCCAGAAATCCCCGCTTGGACTCCTTGTTGATACAAACAAATGTGGAAATCTTACAAAAAAAAAGATTAAAATCTTTGGAAAGATATGTACATCATGCAGAGAATAAACTTTCAGACACAAACTGAAAAAATAAAACTCTCAAGAAACAACAACTTTTAAATAATGATTAAATTGCACTAAAGAAAAAATACTTTCGAAGCAATTACTTGCTTCCAAAGTTCGAGGGCATATTAAAAAAAAACAACAAATTTAAAAAAATCATTATTAAATAAAGTTTTGGATGGTGACCTCAAGCGATCAGATCATTTCGCACCGGTTCAGCAGTAGGAATAGACTCTCACATTCCTACCCATTTACAAGACGTGACATCAAAATGTTCTGGTTGTAAAGGTGAAGAACTTCTCTCTTCTTTGATTTCATTGTGTAGATGTTTGCTGAAAGGTCGATTGAATCCCGAAATTTTTCCTAGGGTACCTCTTTGATAGCATTGAAGAAACGATGGTGTCATCTCGTCTCAATAGTCTTCTTTTCAATATGGCATACTTTCTCTTGATAAACTGTTTGGCAATCCCCAAATCATTATATACCTTGAGATGCAGTCCAACTTGGATATGTCAAAGGGAGTTACAAGGATTTGATTTACGCCAATCTTCACAAAAATTACCGATGAAGATATTATCTTTAGTCCAGTTACTCACCCAGTTAACTCTTGTGGCTTAAGAATTCCATTGCCTCGTCCCGTTCATTGCTGACTTTCCTTTTCCTGAATGCTTTCCATGTGGCTCTTCTAGGTACTCTTTTTAACGCATCTTTTAGAATTTTGATAAGTCTTCGGTTGACTTCTGTGATTTGTGTGAGTCACAAGTGCATATGTAGATCCACTGCAGAAGAGAATAGTTACCATGGCCTGAGCTGCAAATTTCGTTCTGGAACATTTTCAAGGCATCATTCCATCAATGATCTTATGGAAAAATCTTTAGCCATTGCAGAGGTTGCTTCAGTTCTTGAATCTTTCAGTAACTGGAAATTTGTAAAATCTTTGGTTTGGGACTTTACCTGTGTAGACATAGTTGCAGATTCGCATCTTGCAGTAATGCAGCTGCTATGATTGCTGAAAAATAGAGATTCAGGCAATACTCCAATACTATTCCTTGTTGCAATTGAAACCTTTGTTGTTTTTAGATCTTATGCTTATGAATTGTTAAAAAAAATTATTGAAATAATGTTAACTTCAACTCTTCCGATGACAACAGAGCCCATCCATTTTTATTTCAAAGAATTAGTATCGCCATTCAAAGAAATAATGTCACATCGGTATCGGGTACTCTTCCGTCTACTAATAAATTACAGGAAATGTTCCTGAATCCACAAATGAGAAAAAAATTCTATGATTCATCCAAAATGGAGGAAACAAATTGATAATTTTTTGACCTTCTCAAGTACATCTGGTACATCTTTCGTTTAAAATTTCTGAGCCTATTTGGTTGAGGAATATTGGTAATACGTGTTTCATGAACAGTGCAATTCAATGTTCATTAAACACTAGATGGTTGATGGAATATTAAAAAACTATGGCTACGTGAAATATATTAACAAAAGTGTTTCTAACACGGATGGTGCTCTAATCAAAGTAAGACGCCCAGGAGTTCCTCCTCCGATTTCTTTTGGAAGGTTTACACCAAGGCATGAATATTATCACTGAGAATCCTAAACCAATCTTGTCAAGAATCGAGGTAAAATTAGTGGACAGCAAAAAATCGGAAGAACTCTGGTTCGAATATTTGAAGATACACAACTCCAAGATTGTGGACGGATTCGACGGTCCTCTAAAATTTATCTAAAATCACAGAGCTTGGGGTTCTTTATTCTATACAGAAACGAAAAACCGATGTGTTCGAAGTGCAGAAAGAGAAGAAAGTGTACAAAATCACTATCAATCCATGAGCTTCGACGAACATAAGTTTTCCACCAACCGCCATCCCCTACGGTTGTGGCTACATGTCTGTCCCATACTGTTGTAAGATATTTTTCAGTTTTTGCTATCTGCTCCTGAGTTGGCTTCGGTATACTTGTTTCAACTATTGTTGTTCATGATAAGTACAATTTTGAACCTCTGGCATAAATCTATTGATCTCTCAGTCATCTCCTGATAATGCTAACTTGGTTGGTAATTGAATAGAAACATTGTTCTTTCACTAGTACCAGAGCATGTTTCGTTGACCAAGATATCCTCATCTGAATTTCTACATTTGAAGTAATTGCCGTCGAGAGATACTGTTTTTGTTCTGGCGTGGTAAAAGTATTTTCTTTTTATTAATTTTCCTCGATTGTATAATTATTTTTTATTAATCTCCAGATGATGCTGATTGATTAGCAGAAAGTGCTTTGCTCCTAGTGAGAAAAAAATCATTGGTATTACAGAGCTAGGGCTACAGCAGTACACCTTGCTTTTCAAAACCAGTCATTGGTATTAACTGTTGCCTCAAATTGTTATTGAAAATATCCCAGCATCGTTGCTCATTGTAGTTTTAGAATACTTTCTCCTGATGTCCTATTATTTATCATGTGTGTTTCGCCGATTTAGTCTTTAATTATATTCATATCTTTATTGACTATTCGTTCAATTTCTTTATCATCCCTTCCACAACTCTATCGTTGATCTTTTTCAACGGTTTTTGCCTGACCGATTAGTTTCTGAATTCCATTCCAATGCATCTCATATTCAATACATTTAGAACCTCACAAACACTTGTCTTTTTCAGCAATTGTCCTCTAAAGACCTTGAATTATTTCCTTAAGTTCCTTACCTTCTTCTTCGTTTTTTAAATTGAGGTGGCTCTAATTTCGTATCAACTCTATGTTGACAATATTGGAAATACTTCACCATCACCAGAACAAAATTTTTGTCTCTTAACGAGCGGTTGCTAATGAAGTGATGCCTAAAACTTTAGTTTTAGTCATCTCTTGATGATTCATTACCTATTGATGATAAGTTGATTAGCAAAACGAGCGTCAAAAGACAGTATCTTTGTTCTAGTGTGGTAAAACTGTCGAAAATTCAGTTTTAGTCATCTCCTGATGATGCTTACTTGTTTAGCAGAACGCGCGAAAACTTACTAATTTAGTTAACTATGATTTTGACCATGTCGTAGCATTTGAATATGGATTTTTATCAATGTTCCAATAATTTCCAATTCATAAAATACACACTAACTTAGGAAAGAATGATCCTATTTGAATTTTTTTGGAAATTTATTCTCTAAGAATATGACGGAAAGTGATGGTAACCAAACTATAATTACATCTTTGTATTTTCATACTATCAGATACTCGTCATTAATTTTTTCTCATACTATTGAATAATTTGAATTTGTTAGTTCAATCATCATACGTCAATCAAACTGTTTCAGTCCTTCTTTAGTACACTCATAGCTCCGCTGACAGTATGTTGTTCAATAAGTGGCATACTAATACAATAATGACTCAAATGACTCAAAGATACAACTTAACAACATTCAAACTTCAATAGTACTTCACAAGTATTCAAGAGCTTCACTTTGCTTGCTAATGCTGCCCTGCTGTGGATTGAACTATCATCGGCATTTCAACTCGTCTCGCTAAATGTGATTGAACTTTTCATTATTTGCAGTACATCAGCGAGCTGGTACTTTTGGAAGGTGAAGAATACCTCAACCATTATCCTTCTAAATTGGCATCCGCTTGTATCGCCTTGGCAAGACACATACTCTCGAAATCCACTCTTTGGCCGAAAAAATTGAAAAAAATTAGTGGTTACACTATGAAAGATTTGAGTCCGGTGGTTCAACGACAGATCAAAACTCTCAAGGATTCGCCAATGAAGGAACAGCAGTCTATCCAATCAAAATATAAGAGCCCGAAGTACAATAGGGTGGCTCTAATGAAGCCGAAAGTGTTGTTGATAGAGGATTCCGAGAACGAAGAGGAATGAATGTATTCCCCAGTGAGTACCGGTAAGGCGTACATATTAGAATTTTTGAAAAACCTTAGTATTAAGCTTGACTTGAATTGGTTGCATTATCTCATGTTTGATCGCATTATATTGCTAATCTCTTCGTTAAATTATCATAAATTGAATTTGAATTATCAAAAGTCCCCTTTAATGTTAATAACTAAGAACAAAATCACGAATAAAGAATTTGGCTTTCAACAACAAAATTATTAAATATTGTCAAATATATACATTGATGAAAGTCTCTGTTGGAATACTCATACTGAGATATTGAAAAAAAAATCGGACCAATTTTAGGAATATTATTTAGGGTTAGAAATTTCATTTGGTTAAAATATCTCAAATGTATATATTTCTTTTCACATATAGTCAGTGGGCATACTTGAAGACTAGCTATAAATCAAATCATATAAAGGAACAATTCATTCAGACCAGTATCAAATTACCTACACTATAGGACTGACACCTATTAGAAAACAAGTACTCCCCTGGCTAATACCACGAAGGGCGTTGGATTGTATTCGACCGGTGTCGGTGCAGGATTCTTCACTGAAGTTATTCCTGCATATGCTATTGGCGATACAATTGCCGCAATAGATTTTTAATTATTGAAACACACTTGCAGGCCGGTAGTGTTTATCATCAACATAAAGTCGATGATTTCCGATGATAGAAAATCGAATTCCTTCAGGGTATCATTTTACGAACTAGGCCGAAGAGGATAACAAACAACAGGTTTGTCATCGCTCCATCTACCTGTAAACGAGGTAACCAACCGCATATCCAAAATTTGCCCAATTCCTCGTACAAGGAAAAATAAATTTTTCACATATAGTCAGTGGGCATACTAGCTATAAATCAAATAATGTAAAGGAATAATTCGTTCAGGCCAGTCTCAACTCCCTACACTTTAGGTTAGGTCGTTATTCGTTCAGATGATTTGGTATATATTTCTGTTTGGTTTATTCAAATCTACAGTATTCAATTTGGGAAATTGCTAATTTATCAATAATAAATCCTCTCAAGAGACCACAACATGAAATAATAAGATGTATATACAAACTATCATATCTTTAATCTACGTCAAATTTATATTCCAAAGTAAGTTTAAAATATAAAGGAGGCATATAAATTCAAACATAAAAAACGAAAAGTCAAATGCAAATTTGATGTTGAAAATTCTGTTACAGCACCAGAAAAAATATGATTATTATGATATTTGCATATACGGTGAGATTTAAATGTAAGTTCAAGTGAAAAATTATTAGTGATCTATAATTTTTCTTCTATTGAAATTATTTGTTTAATTTTATTGATCAAAAGTTAAAATATAATTGTAAATTTGACTTGAACAAAAAATCGGAAATACAAAATTTAAGTGTTCTGTCCACGAATTTCCCTTTTTCATTTATATACACAGGGCTATTCAAATTCGTTTCTGTACATGGGGATCTCGTAAACGATAAGAGATAGAGTGTCGGCTAAATTGTGGCAAAGTTGCCACAATTCGAGACTTATTAAATGATGTAAAGAAATCGAATATAACTCTTTTGGTTCTGGTAATATACAGGAAAAACCAAAAAAATCCCAAATTATTTTTTCCCCATATCTTCTTTATTCGCAGGCATATTGAAAATCTGTCCACATTTTGCTATTGGCCCTTGATGCGGGCTATCAGAATGAATCTTTTATATAGGGTGTCATCTGACTTGTGTCACCCTCATCTTTGAATTTTTAAATACGGACCTGTATTTTTTGTTGTAGTTTTTGTATCGTCAATGTGCACTTCATACTGGGAAATCAAATTCAATTTTATATTTCGGGATGTTTCGGTAATATTTGATTATAATTGTGTGAATTATTCCCTTTTAAATTACGGCCCTAGAAATTTGTTGACTGAGTTGAATAACAACACAATAGCAACTTTCACGTCTTCCTATGTACCGTAGAGTTTTTCTAGAGTCTGCGAATGAAGAAGATATAGGAAAAAAATCATTTGGGATTTTTTGGTTTTTCCTGTTTATCTCCAGAACCAAAAGAGCTATATTCGATTTTTTCACATCATTGAATAGGTCTCTAAAATACGCAACTTTGCCACAATTTAGCCGACACTCTATCTCTTATCGTTGACGAGATCCCTATGTACAGAAATGAATTTGAATAGCCCTGTATATACATATTTTCTGTAGTTTTTCTTGAATCTTGAGTGTATATTTTTTGGAGAGGGATTTCTTGGGGTTTGGATTCTTGTTGAATGAAAGTTTTTCCTTTTTGATGTATATAAAGACGTTTCGTCCTCAGTCGAGGAGGAAATATAAATCAAAACAACAAGATCACTATGACAGAAAAAACAAAGGACTTCCATAGAAATAACAAAGAAAAATGTCAAAAATTATTTTTTTTCAACAATGCAGCCTAGGTACGTACCATAAGGTTATTATAAAACTACCACTAATAATTTACAAAACGACGAAATTCATTAGTAATATTGGCCAAAACATTGAACTATGATTTGTGTGGTGAACGGTCAGCTGAAGGAAGTATATCGGGAGAAGACATCAATTGTAGACGTTATATAGGAAAATGGAAGTATTTACACGGAAGACAGAGAAAAATAGCGTATATCTGGAGAAATTAGCTCAACCAACTAACTGAACGTTCTTCACTTTGATTTATGCAACATTTCTGCCATATCTCAGAGACCCTTCGTACTGGTGTGAACTGATTTGATACTAGTGACCCGCTTCGCACGGTTGGCAGAACATATATGCCCATATTTTTTCCTGTCGTACTGCCACATCTGCTCGTCCATGAAGAAGGTTCCAATTTTCATCTGAAGGACGTGCTATTGAAGACATGAAGGTGGGATGTTTGACCTTTAAAAAGTTCTAGAACAGTCCAAAAAATTCGAGAATATTCGAAAGCATTTCACAATATTTGTGAAAAGTTTGGAATGTTCAGGAGAATTCAGAAACATCCCAGATCATCCTAGAACGCTTAAAGATGTTGAGATCATTGTCGAACGCTACCACACTATTTATATGCCGTTTTTACCCGAAAAGTGTGATTTTTGAATATATAAGGATTGGGAGCTTCGCTATCTGAAAGGTCTGGAGCAGTACAAAACATTCGGGAGAATTTGAGAGCAGGAGGTGACATGGGCTCTATACCTAATTGTCGGCATACATTCAAATAAGACACAACATCAGGTGATTATCATTCAGAAATAAATTCTGAAAATTATGGTAAATGCTTTCAAGAAAAGTGAATCCAAATTTCACCTTTGAATTCGGTAGTCGTGACCGATAATGCTCCATACCATAATATTCAAATTAATCCACAACATAAATTCTAGAAAGGCTGACATGGTGAAGTGACTGCATAAAAAAGCATTATGTTCACCCCTAACATGATCAAACCTCAAGGTAAATGAAGAGTATTATATTAGATACACATTTGATGAGGTTCTGCTTGAACACGGACATAAGGTTTTGTGACTTCCACCCTACCATTCGGATTTGAATCTCATTGGACTCATTTGGGACAATAGCCCAATAGTCCAAAAAGAATGTCCCAAAATAATGAAGATGGAGGAAACTGGCGGAGCACGAGTTTGATCAAATCACTTCCGAGGAATGGCAAAAGCGTTACCGACATGTAGTAGGTATAGATCGGAAATATTGGGAAAATGAAACATTCATAGACGTTTGGTAAATCCAGTGATAATAAATTTAAATGACGATAGTACCACAAGCACGAGCAGCAGTGACTGATTAAAGTTTACATTTGCATAAGTATATCATTGTATCTGTTGCGTGGCACGCCTTTGTTTTGTTTACGCATAAAACCAAATTATGTTAAGGACTGCCTGCTAGCCGAGGTATTTTTATTGCAACCCTCAAGAGCGGTGAGGTGCGGGGTGCCAGGCAAAGTAACGACCAGACAAGAGGATTTTAGGAGAGCATAATCGAGTCCATCGACGAGAACACATTGCAATTCATTGTAGCATATTTTTCCACACGTTTTATGTTGTATCAGTTCAAAATAAAGTTAATTGTCATGTGTTAGTGAATTATTTGAACGGAGTAGTTTAAAGAAATATCGAGATTAAAACAGTATCATTATATAACATTTCAATGAACTGTACTTAAACTGTACTTGTTACTTATAATACTGAATAAAATATGAAAAGAAATTACGAAGAAGTCATGTTCCATTTGCTACCCTAATCAAATCTAATTATAGGTACGACACTGGCCGGCAAGGGGCTTATCGTAATCCAATAGTCATTTAGTTGGAAGAGACTATACCTGCGCGATCGTTCGCCATCAGCTGCGGCGTGTACTGTAGTAGTCGAAGCAATTGACCATTATTTTTTTCCAAATCAGAAGGAATGCGTAGTGGTAGTCAATCTATAAGGTTGAACATTTTTTTGAAGAAAATGGCAATTGAGAAGGTTTAGAACAGTACAAAACATTCGCGAGAATTCGAGAGCATTATACAATTTGTTTGAATCAGCTCGGACTTCCATTGTCTACTATAATATAAATTGATTTGAAATCTCTGAAAGAATCTGTGAAAAATTACAAAAATTAACCGAAAAATAACAATTTCAATAAACAAAAAACTGAAAATCACAAAGAAATAACATACAAGCAACTTATCACCCAAAGACGATTGTGGATACTAACAATCGAAACGTCGTGACGTAACTTGGTTTGGAATCTTTTAATTTTCACTTCTTCTTAATGATATTTTTTAATTTTTTTTTAAATTTTAAGCTTGTATTAATATTTCAATTTTTTTAGTCTTTATTTTTTTTTGGTTGTTTCTTATATGTTATTCCTTTGTAATTTTCAGTAATTTCTAACTTTTCGGTTGATCTTTTTAATTTTTTACAGATTCTTTCAGGGATTTCAAATAAATTTATATTATATTAGACAATGGAAGTCCGAACTGATGAAATACAGCCTTATACAAGTTTAGAACGTCTCAGAATATTCTGATCTGTTCTGGGTGTGTTTCTGAATATATAGGCGTTGGAGGTTTCCTCCTTTTGTATATTTTTAGAACTGTCTAGCGCATTCGAGAGTATTAGAAAGCATTCTACAGCCTTCCAGAACATATCGGAATACTCTGGAATGTGGAATGTTCAGTAATAGTTTGTAATGTTTGGAAACATTTTGGAATATCCCAGGACATTGTGGAAGATTTTGTAATAGTCTCAGGCACTTTTCAATTTTTGGATTAGATGGATACTATGGAACAAATCGATATCAAAGAACCTGATTTAGGAATAATTGAAAACAGGAGACGGGTTATGAAAACGTTGTAGTATCAATGAATATTATTTTCATTTGTATTATTGATTTTTCTTTCAAGAGAGGAAATATAATTGACCTTTTTCTAGCGGAACATTTTAATATTTTATTTGATTGAATAATATTCAACTCATTTTTGATATCCTAAATTTTTTTCAGGCACTGGACGGGATGACAATCTGCGATTTACATCGTTTTTACTTTCGATATAAGTTTTAACTGTTCATTTACATAAGTATTATTTTAATACGTACATCAATAGATGTTTCCGAACTGTAATTTTTAGGAGATATATAATTTCTTAGGTATAATTTTGATACTTACGAGTAATGTGACAGTGTCTCTCTTGGAAACGTCTACTATTTTATCTATTGTATTTACACTTTGAAATTTTAAATATTGATTTTTTTATATTAAACTATTCATGTACGTTTATTTGAATATCAATAACCAACACGTGTACTGAATATGTGATAATGAATAAATCAATTAATGCACGGATATTATTTCCCCTCTTAGATGTTGGAGAAAAATATTTTTCAAGCTCTGTTTCCAAGATGTATAAATACTGAATATGTATTTGATTACGGAACACAAGAATAGGAAACATTATTTTTATATCATAATCAATTAATCAATTATAGGCCTGTTAGTTCCAGAAAAAAATACACACAAACAAATATTTGCATTTCACACAACTCGAGGACATATTGGCCTAGAATCAATTTCGAATAATCAATTTCTGCAAACAGAATTAGAAAATATTGGATAGTTTCTCCATGAAAAAACGTATTTTTGTATTTAATTCATATTATGCTTCAGAAATTTTGTGCTTCTGCTATAGTTGACCATAATGTCAATTTCACAGCCTCTAGAAGTTATTACAGATTGGGGAGAGTTTCACAAAAGAAATAAAAATGATAATAATATTAATGATATGGCGATTCCCTCAGTCCCCTTCTCTTCTGCACCTCACTATTGCCATTATCCGTTGCGCTCAGAAAGAAATACTCGAGGGTATAACTGTGGCACCTCTGGAAACCAGAGGCACAAGGTAACCCATTTGTTTTATATGGATGATCTTAAACTTTATGCTCTGGAGAGAGGGACCTCTATCAATCCTTAAGGATGGTGGAAGAGTACACTCATACTATCGGTACGAAATTCGGGATAGACAAATGTGCAATGGTCCATGTCAAAAGAGGACGATACGGGGACTACGGAGAGGATGTGCAGCTCGTAGATGGAAAGATGGAAACGTATACTTACCTCGGGGTGGAACAACGCCACTCACAAGAGGTAACAGCAGTGAAGAACTAACTCTTTCCGCGGCAAGTATCGGCACAAACTTCAACAGATCTGGTCATCGGAACTATCGGGGAAGAATAAAGTTGCTGCAACAAATATGCTTGCCGTTCCAATCTTACTCTACTCGTTTGGAGTAGTGAAGTGGACTCAGGAGGAGCTGTATTAACTCGACGTAAAAACCCGAAAAATGGTGCATCTCTATAGGAGTTTGCATCCCAAATCATCCGTTCCACGGTTGTACTTCCCCGATGACATGGAGACTTTTGAGGTTGGATGTCTACATGACAGAATGGTACTGGATGTAGCCGGTAAAGTCGTCAGGAGTTTGGATCCCCTTCTCTGCATGGTTTGCGACCATGAGAGAACAGGAATTGGATCATTTTTCTTTAGGACAGCTGCCCGAGCAGCTGATGAACTGAATGACACTGAACGAGATGATCACAACTCTGTCACCGAGTTGGAACCCGTTCAACAAAAAGCTCATATAAAAGCTGCAGAAATCACCTCAACTCTACGGAAACACAAGTTCAAGCCATTGCATGGAGTCTTTTTCAATAACATTGGAGACATTGGCTTATTAAAGCGCCTGACTTTCGCTTTCCTCAGGTCGAGTGGGTTGAAGTCGGAAACTGAGCAGTTCATCATGGCTTGCCAGGATGATGTTTTCAACACCTTAGTCTACCGCAGTCACGTGATGGGTATAGAGGTTCTTGACACAAGGTGCAGGACCTGCTGCGATGCATCCGAGGCCCTAATGCACTTGCTATCAGCATGTCCAGCATATGCGGTCTCGGCCTATATCCATCGAAATAATGCGGCCCTAAGAGTGCTATATTACCATCTACGGCACTCTTACGGTAGACACCGGTGATGCCCTACGTTTCGGGGGTATTGAACCCGTTGTGGGGAACGAGAAGTGCCAAATTTATTGGTACTATTCGTTTCCCACCCTCAGGTTCATACAAGTTAATAAGCCTGATGTAGTTCTCCTCGACCACCAGAGCAAGACGATATTTGCCGTGGAGTTTGCAGCTCCAAAGAGAGGAGGAAAAACGGATAAAATATCGAGATTTTCTCTTTGAACTCCGCAGACTCTATCCAGACCACTCTGGAGTTCTGATTATTGGAGTGCTACTCTCGAATCTTAAAATCACACCGGCTTACCTTACTGAGGTAAAAATCTAAGCCGGACAGATGCAGAAGGCTGTCACTCTTGGCTCACTGCGCTTGCTCAGGGCACATGATTCTCGGACCCAATGATCACTTGCCTCACGGTGAGGGGAGTGGTCGGTGGTTGATAATGCCGGCGCGCCCTCCCGAATGTATCGGGCTTCGGGGGATAGGGCCTGACCAGCGCATACAACGGTAAACAATAATATGTCTTTATTCATCACATTAGAAATACAAATGAAATAATAATACATAGAAATGATGAATATGCTGAGTTCATCTTTGAGAACTGTTTTTATACCCAACCTCGATTGGTATGTTTTTAAATTTTTCATATTGTTCAGATATCAAAAAGACAAGTAACTACAATAAACAATTAAAATTGAGAAAAAACACATTATGTGAGAAATTGCCCAAATCGTTTTGCTTATGTCGTGCCATAATATCACGGTCAGGTGAGAAACATGCCTTTTAAACTTTTTTTGATTTTTTTTGAAATTTATCAAGCCCTCTCCCCCTTGGTAATACGTGGTCAGGTTTAAGACCTCCCACACCCAAAATTTTTTTCAGTATCTACAAAGAATTTTAAAATGTTTTCTTTCTTATACCCTGCAAATAAGTATTTTATACAGATCACCTAGTTTAGACATTGTTTCAATGAAAAACGTATGAGGTAACGGTGTATGCATGTATTCGGCGCCGAAATAACAGAATATAACTGGCAAGCCAAGCCGGGCGGTTGTTGTGGTGTGCGGCGACTTCGTTTGTTGCCTGGCAACGGCGTCAAAGTCAAATTACACGCCGCGTTACGGTTTATAAATCGCGCGTTTCACGAAAAAATAAATACACGTGATATCTTATCACCTCCCCCCCTTCCCTCTTGTGATATTTCGTGGTTTTTGCTAAACCCCCTCCCCCCTTTCAAGCCTCACGTGATTAATGGACGGCCCCTTATTACGAGAGGTGATACTGTGTGATAGTGCAACCAGCAGTGAGAAAGGACGGACTTATGCGATAATTTTTTCGAATATCGTAGGAAAATGTGACACAACTGTTTTGTATACGTTGCAGTCGCATTAAATCTAATTGTTGTGAGGCGAGTCCGTAGATACAATCGAAGTAAGCTAATCTTGAAAAAATAAATGTTCCACAGAAACCCAACTTCAGACTTTGTGATTAATAAGTGTCTACTTGGATAAAGTTGCCTTAATACATTGAATGCCGTTTTACACAGATGACTTACATGATTCGTCTGTATCTAACCACAAGCCCAGATTCTTACATTCATTTACGAAAGAAATTATATTTCTTTTTCTTCTGGAACCAAATAACATAACCTGGGATTTCTTTGGATTAATAGTGAGATTATGTGCACAAGATACGTCGTATAGAGTTTTAAGGTTTCTGTTAATATTATCATTAGCGAGTGCAATATCTTTGAAGCTGAATGAACTATACAATTGGGTATATTTGACGTAGTGATGTTTTTACCAGAACTAAAAACTTCATGAAAGTCACTAATATAAATTGCAAAAAGCAGCAGTCTTAAGACTGAAACTTGCGGAACACTATATTTGATTGGTTACCATCGAAGTGAGTCGATTGGGTCCTTTCGAAGAGATAGGTAACTATTCCAAAGTAAGACTGCATTATGGGTGAAACCAAAGCACTTAAGTTTTATGCACAACTAGTACTATGTTGCTGTATCGCTGCTGTTCCAATATTTTGACAGAATCAGAATCAACGAACTTAGGCGTGCGCAGCGTTATAGAACAGTGCTTTCAAAAAATTTTTCTACAGCACCATCTAGTGATGAGTTGCAGTGAAATTGATAGCCTAAAAACCTTCTCTATGAAAAATTACCTATACATGTCAAGTTTCATCACGATCGGTTGAGCGATGTAGAAGTTTATGACTTACCAACCAACCAACCAACAAACATCCATTTTCATATATTAGACCAGTTGTTGCCCGTGGCTTCGCCCTCGCGAAATTTTGTGGTTGTAGTACTAATTAGTACTATGTTGTTGTATCGCGGCTGTTCAAATGTTTTGACAGAATCAAAATCAACGAACTCAGGCGTGCGCAGCGTTATAGAACAGTGCTTTCAAAAAATTGTTCTACAGCTCCATCTAGTGGCGAGTTACAGAAAAATTGATAGCCTAAAAACATGTCAAGTTTCATCACGATCGGTTGAGCGATGTAGAAGTTTATCACTTACCAACCAACCAACCAACAAACATCCATTTTTATATATTAGATACAGAAGGATTCAAAGTATCAAAAGCTTTACTGTAATCAAGCATTGAGAGAAATGTGAAATTTCCTCCAGCAAGTGATTTGAATATATCGTCAGTGACGAAAAGTCGTAGTTGTGCTATATAGAGGGCGAAATACACATTGAACGGAGGTAATGAGATTTTTAACGTAATCTGTGATCTGTTCTTTAATGAATAATAGTCTAAGGTCTCGCTGCAAAATCACTGTGTTCATAGCGTAGTTAATAAAAGGTAAATTTTTACATGCATTCATGAAAAGGAGAAAACATTTATGACAGGGTGCCAGACAAACAGTGGTCGCAAATATTTTTAATTGAAAAAATGTTAATTAATTTTTGTAAATAAATCGTTCACTTATTTCTTAAATGGAATACCATCCACATCTTAGTAAATATGTAAATATTTAGTAGAACTAAGGGTGCCATTCCCCATTCGACCGCAACTACTTCGCAGCCAGGTGCGAACAGGTAATATTTTGACGTCTTTTTACGTTCATGACGTACATGCATGTTTTTTACATCAAATTGAAGCTAATTTTTATATCAATACGATGATATACCGTTGCTTGTGAAAAAAATGGCCACAAATTAGGGTTGCTAGTAACTAAAAACGCTAGATAAAGTTGAAGTGAAAGTGAGTTAGCGCACAACGCCACTCTTTAGACGAGGATGGCGATTGCCAGTGAGACTTATATTTTATGGGTTAATTTCGGTGATTTATATTACCAAAAATCATACAACACAG